CCCGACCGCCGAGGCGGCGGAACGGCCATCTATTACAAGAAGACACTTCATTGCTCGCCCATTTCTACTCCGCAGCTTACCAACATGGAAGCCACGATATGCAGGCTAGCTATGACTGGACATCAGTCCATCCTCATAGCCTCCTGTTACATCCCTTCAGGAACCTATCCCCTCAAAAAGGATTTTGAGGCCATTTTATCTTTAGGCAATTCAGTCATTATGTTTGGAGATTTTAACTCCAAGCATACTGAATGGACATGCCGCACTACGTCCCCTAGTGGCAAGATACTGCTCGATATCACGCAGTCTCTTGATATTACCGTCCATAGTCCTCTCGGTGTTACTCACTTTCCAGATAACACCGATCACGCCCCCCGATGTGTTAGATTTTGCGTTACTCCAAGGAGTTTCTCTCAACCTCGGAGCAATCGAGACACTAGACGACCTAGGATCAGATCACCGACCGGTCTCCCTCATTCTTGGCCATCAGCCACCTCCCCCAACACACACGAAAACCTTCACTAACTGGAAGGGATTCAAGGAGTCCCTAGCTAAAGCTTTGGACTCACAGGACTCTACCATCTCCCTACCGTCGGACTTAGATAGTCCCGAAAAAATCGACACCGCGGTCGACTCACTCTCCACCCTTATTAAATCCTCCCTTAAGGAGAACGAAAGGGTCGTCCCGGTTGCTAACAATAGTGGGCTTCCCCTACATATTAGCAACCTATTAAAAGCCAAAAAAGCTGCTTTCCGGAGAGCAGCAAAATATCCCACCCCCGAATATAGGCGCGCGGCCAATCGTCTTCAACGAGAACTCCGCTTCCGCCTCTCTGTATTTCGAGACCTCGAAAAGAGTAAGCTCATGGAGAATATCTCTCCATCTCACACAGCGTACTATCAGATGGCTAGAGCCCTCCGCATAGACGCTATCACCCACACTCCCCCTCTCTCCCGTCCCGACGGCACGGTTGCCTTCGAGGACGAGGAAAAGGCTGAGTGCTTTGCAGATAGCATTGCCGCTCAATGCTCTCCCAGTTCTCAACCCGTCGACCCCTCACACGTCCAGGCAGTGGAGGATGAGGTCCGCCGCCGGAACTCACCCCCCACGGCCTCCGAACCTATCTCTGTGTCCAATGATGAGATCTCATCCCTCATCAAAGGACTTAAGCCTAAAAAGGCTCCGGGCGCGGATGGCATCTCCAACCAAGCCCTAAAACACTTTCCCGAGCAGGTGTTAACCTTTTTATCTATTATCTTCAACGCCTGCTTCAACCTTAGTTATTTTCCCACTACGTGGAAAGATGCTACTGTGATTGGAATTCCCAAGCCAGGCAAGCCTCTCAACCTCCCCTCCAGCCATCGCCCCATTAGCCTCCTCAAGGCAATGGGCAAGCTCTTCGAAAGAGTCATCCAAAGTCGTATGAGGCGCTATCTGTTTCCCACAGACGGCGACCCTCTTATCATTCCCCATCAATTCGGCTTCCGAACCAAACACTCATGTCCCCAACAAGTTCACCGCATTGTGGAATATATCCTCAGCGGTTTCTATCCTCGTCGTCATAAGACCATCGCGGTCTTTTTCGATATAGCCAAAGCTTTCGATAGAGTCTGGCACACAGGCCTTATCTACAAGCTCTATAAAATAGGTCTCCCCGATCGTCTAGTTCGTCTCGTGGCCTCCTATTTAAAACATCGTACCTTTCGTTTCAGACACGAAGGCACGCTCTCTTCACAGCGAACTATCAAGGCTGGTGTCCCTCAGGGCTCCTCTGCTGTACATGCTGTTCACCAACGACATTCCCATCCCGTCGAAAGGTGTTCAACTCTCCCTCTTTGCAGATGACACTGCCATCTACTGCAAAGGTGTCTCACTACCCCTTATACGGAACAAGATCCAAAAGTCAGTTGATGACCTAGGAGCTTGGTTCAAAAAATGGCGCATCGATGTGAACCCGGAGAAGAGCTCCGCCGTCCACTTCGATTATAAACGACGCCGTCTCAAAAACACTCCACCAATACGTATGCTAGGGACCCCTGTCCCCTGGCATACGTCCGCCAAATATTTAGGTGTCACTCTAGCCGTGAGCCGTGGTAGCTCAGTGGTTAACGCTCGCTGTAAATATAACAGAACGCGAGTAACCCGGGTTCGATCCCCGCCGGCACCAATGAAATTGTTAATTGCAATTTTAAGTGTTGATTTACCACGTGCTCGGCGGTGAAGGAAAACATCGTAAGGAAACCTGCACGTCTGAGGAATAAGAAAAAAAAATATTTCGAAGACATGTGAAGTTCGTCAAGACGCATTTGGGCAGCGCGGCGGGCACTTCCTTGCCCTAAACCCTCTCAGAAATGAGGGGGAGGCCTGAGCCCAGCAGTGGGACGTATATAGGCTGTAACTTTACCTTTACTTTACTAGACACAAGGCTCACTTTCAGACCCCACGTCAAAAGAGTAACCCGTCACGCACGATTTTATCTGAGTAGGCTCAACAGTATGTTGGGCCGACACAGTAAAATGTCCCTTCGAAACAAGCGTACACTCTACAAGGTATGTATACGACCAGTCATGTCCTACGCGGGCCCCGTCTTTGCCCACGCAAACCCTAACATTTTAAATGAACTCCAAATAGTTCAGAACCTCTTCTGTCGTCGAGCTGCGAACGCACCGTGGTACGTCCGCAATGCCGACCTTCATCGGGACTTAGAGCTCCCAACAATTCAACAATTTCTTAAAAAACTCTCTGAGAACTTCTTCAAAGCCTCAGAGTCGCACCCAAACCATTTAATTCGTGAGGCAGCTTCTTATGCAGCCCCACCCCCCTCTCCGTGTCCGCAGGCCGAGAAACTCTCTCTCGGACCCGCCTAATAAACTTTCAAACGACCTGAACTGTCTCCTGGCAGCTCAGGCCAACTCTAATTAAATAAAATTATTGTAATATCTAACATTAACTTGCCTTCGTAGGCACTCCCTCAGCGGCACTTAGCCGCCTGCGCCCTCTTTTCCCAAAAGAGGGTCGCTCATGATAAGGCACAATAGAGCTTAATCAGCCGGTTGCCTGTCCCCAAAGGCGGTTTTTTAGAGGGTATCACTTAGGGTCCCCGGTAGGACAGTGAGCCCCTCATAACCACGATAGACCGGCTATCGTGGTATGCGTAATGCATTTTCCGCCTCCCTACGTATAGGGTAGCCCTTTAATAGCTTCGGGCGCAAAAAAAAAAAAAAAAAACTCGCCGCTCACGTCCTACGCGGGCCCCGTCTTTGCCCACGCAAACCCTAACATTTTAAATGAACTCCAAATAGTTCAGAACCTCTTCTGTCGTCGAGCTGCGAACGCACCGTGGTACGTCCGCAATGCCGACCTTCATCGGGACTTAGAGCTCCCAACAATTCAACAATTTCTTAAAAAACTCTCTGAGAACTTCTTCAAAGCCTCAGAGTCGCACCCAAACCATTTAATTCGTGAGGCAGCTTCTTATGCAGCCCCACCCCCCTCTCCGTGTCCGCAGGCCGAGAAACTCTCTCTCGGACCCGCCTAATAAACTTTCAAACGACCTGAACTGTCTCCTGGCGGCTCAGGCCAACTCTAATTAAATAAAATTATTGTAATATCTAACATTAATTTGCCTTCGTAGGCACTCCCTCAGCGGCACTTAGCCGCCTGCGCCCTCTTTTCCCAAAAGAGGGTCGCTCATGATAAGGCACAATAGAGCTTAATCAGCCGGTTGCCTGTCCCCAAAGGCGGTTTTTAGAGGGTATCACTTAGGGTCCCCGGTAGGACAGTGAGCCCCTCATAACCACGATAGACCGGCTATCGTGGTATGCGTAATGCATTTTCCGCCTCCCTACGTATAGGGTAGCCCTTTAATTGCTTCGGGCGCAAAAAAAAAAAAAAAACTCGCCGCTCACTTAGCGGTCAGCCGCCATAGAGTCTATATTACCTGAGGATGCCTCGTGTAGAGGCGAAACACGTGTCGTATTATCGTCGATGGTGTGTCTTGCCTGGAATAGTGGTGTTGAGAGTAGTGGTGCTTGGTCTAGTGGTGACGGAGTTAGTGTATGCAATTGAGGGAGGGCGGGAGGTGCGCTTCAATCCAGGTAAGACACATCATTTTATATGTTTAGCGGAAAGTTGCAAAGAAATTTATATTTTTATTTTTTATTATGGATTTCCGCAAAGTAACGCCTGATTCTATCAATAATTGTATTTACAAAGAAGAATACTTTTGTTAGTTGTTAGCCTAAAATTTTATAATGTTGATGAAACTGATCTCCAAAGTTAGGATAAGTGAACTTTGAGTTAAGTTGAAGTACTTAATTATTTGAATCACTTATCCTCCGACTTTGTAATGCTTAAATATAGCATTATAATGTGTTAATAATAAGTTATAATTTTTTATTTAATGTCTAAGGAAAGTTTTGTGTAATTACTGTGCCATGATTATGATAAGTAAGGTAAACTTAGCTAGTACGGTTAGTGAAAAACCTAAAATTTTCTTTAATTAGTTAACAAGTTGTTAAGTAATATAAATATGGTCAAATAAATAGTAAATTTCATTATTTTCGTGTTCTATTTATAAAAATACTATAATCATAATCGTCACAAGTTATTGAAGTGACATCATTTAGTGCAAGAACCTTTTTATTGGAAACGAGGCAATTCATCTTAGTCCTCAGGGATGACAACGCATCTGCATTTTGATTCTTAATCGAGGATAGGTGTAGATGTTTATGGGCCACAGCATCCACTTACCATGAGGTGGATTGTGTGCTCGTTTACCATCCTTATTCTATAAAAATAACAACATTTGATCAATTGTACTTCTTTATAAATTTCTCGTAGACTATGCACTTAAATAAAACAAAATTTCAGTGGATGCAACAATTTATTTTTTATTACAGTACAATATATTATATAAGCACACAAATACTCACAAATTATACGTTAGGCCATAGAACTATCATGAATTTTTAAATATTATCGCAAATGCACCCAGCATTCATTGGTAATTAGGAATCACCTTGGAAAGATATTTATCGTGTAAACTGTGTCTCCAATGGTTCTGAAAATAACAAAACTTTTCTTATTTTTTTATTTTAAAACAGGTGGCCCAGCAGACATTGTTCTGCCCATTCTGGCTGGAGGCGCGATGTGTGTGTCATTTTCATACATATACTTTTCTATCGACTTATTATGCGTTTAGCTAAATCCTCTTTATATGTTGTAATAGAGCCATCAGAAACCATTATGACAACAAAGTTTTAAAAATGATAACATAACTCTCCTTTTTAACTCTCCCGTAAACGAATAAAAAGTTGCCTACACAATTATTTACTGTCTAAACACCAAATTGCATGGAAACCCGTCTAATAGTTTTTGCGTGAATCGTAAACAAACAATTTTTCCAGAGATTTATTATATGTATATAGATTTATTTATTTTATTATATGTATGTACACAATGATTTACTAGCGATCTGTACTGTCTTCACGGGCATGGGCGATTTCCGGATCTCGACAACAGCGCCACCTACCGGGTTCAAATGTGAATCAAAACCATCTAGAGACCCATTCAAACACACACACACACACACACACACACACACACACACACACACACACACACACACACACACACACACACACACACACACAAATGTAATCAAAATCTGTTGAGCCGTTTTTGAGTTTTAGCAAGACTAACGGATAGCAATTGATTTTTATATATAGGGATAGGTTAAGTATTTATATAGAATACTATAATACATACATAATAGAACTAAAATGGCCACTAACACGTCAATTCACACGTATAAATGTCAACACGAGATGTGTTTTGACGTTACAATCGTTTCCAAATTTCGTATGCAAATTATTTAGAAAATGCCAAATTGCACGCTATTTACTAATACATACTATGTACTAAAGTGCGTCTGTCAACACAACGAAACGGGTAGCAGGTAGGGTAGGGTAGTTAACTGATAATACGGCGTAATTGCTTGTATGTGTGCTCCCGGCGACACCTTTCCTCGTACAAAATAGGGTTGACAGCCATTCTATTGTATATCATAGTATTCTATGAATATTTATTTGCGGTTAGTCCACTAAATCAATTCGAGATCACTATTTAAGGAGTTATATGGGATGGACAATTATGTTCCTCGAATAATTAAAAACACAATAGTTGTGTGTGATTATTGATTATTACAGAAAACTGTCAAGCTCAAGCCTGTATTTTGTAAGCTGCACAACGGTGTTCGATTACGTACAATGTGCTAATTAGTGACGATTCATCATCGCTAGCCCGCGAGAATTCAACTGATAGACACCTTCGAGAAATGGAACGGGAGGTCAATTTACGCCGTCGTCGTATGGTAAATCTCTATCTCAGTCACTCAGTCGAGAGAGTCGAGTTGCTTTGACCAACGGCCAAGTATGACATCAGTTATAGACAACAGAGTGAAGGAAATAATATTTAGGGGAATTAGATTGATAAGGGTTCAGACTAGATGGGAGATAGAAGTATGTAAAATATTGCAAAGGGCAAGGTTTTTACTGTACAGCATGAATGAACTACTGGTCTCTAAAAATGATATTAAAATGTGTAACATAGGTAAACATCACCGCATTATCTCTGAACCATTGTAAAAGTTATTCATCATCATTACAGCCCTTCACAAGTCCACTGCTAAACACAGGCCTCGGCAAGGAATGCCACAAAGCACATTCCTGAGCCACCTGCGTCCATCGACTTCCTGCATGTCTTACCAGGTCGTCACTCCAACTAGTGGGGGGCGCCCTACACTTCGCCTGCCCGTACGAGGCTGCCACTCGAGAACCTTTTTCCCCCATCGGTTGTCAGTTCTTCGAGCTACACGGCCGGCCTATTGCCACTTCAGCTTACTAATCGGTTAGACTATGTTGGACACTCTGGTTCTACTGCGAATATCCTCATTCCTAAGTTTATTACGCAGAGAAACTCCGAGCTAGTCCTTTTTATTGTTCGGTGAGCGACCTTGACCTTCCACATACGGCTAGCATTGAAGTACCACGCCTCAGATCCATATTAAATCATCACTGGCAACACGCAGTTGTTCAATCTAATTTTGAGGTTTTGAGGGATGCCTGACGAGAAGACCTAAACCTCCCGAACGCTGTACAGCCGAGTTGAAAAAGTTAAAGTTAATGTTAATTAAAGTTGCAGCCTGTATACTTCCTACTACTGGGGACAGGTCTCCTCTCATATCTGAGGGGGTTTTAGGGCAAGGAAGTATCCACCGCGCTGCGCCAATGCGTGTGTTGGCGAACTTCATATTTCTTTGAATTAAAAACATCTTAGCTTTGAAATATATTTCTTTCTTATTTTTCAGACATGCAGGGAGCCGAGGTAGCTTAGGGGCTATGCGCTCGATGTAAATTTCGCAGTACGCGAGCAACCCGGGTTCGATCCCCGCCGGCACCAAAGAAATTGATAATTGCAATTTTAAATGCTGATTTACTACGTGCTCGACGACGAAGTAAAATATCGTGAGAAAACCTTTGTAAAGTGCTCCTCAAACAGTGTATCCCTTAATTAGTATATATTAGAAGAAATTTAATAAATTGTTTTGTGTTATTTAGTTATAACTTATAAGGTTAGCTGTGCTTATAAATACTCTACGATTGTAGAGTACATCTTGCTTATTTATATCCTAAGGGTAAATAAAATAGGACTGACATGTCAAAATATGGAAAGTTCCTAAATTAATAAAGAATAAAAAAATTGGTTGACCCTGCAGGTCATCCCTGGAACTTCCCGCTAATTTCAAATGCAAAGCGCTCCAAATTTCAAAAAATTGTGTTGCGAACTCTCGAATTTATGTAAAAAAAAAGTTTTTTTCAAATTCTTTCTCCTTCTATATCTCACGAACGAATGAATCGATTTTTATTTTCCAAACGGCATTCGACGTAATTATTTTAAGTTTAGAGCTGATTAGCTTTTGAAATCGATCGGTAAAGCCGTTTAAAAGTTATTCAATTAACAGTTGAGATTTCTCAAAATCTACTCGTCCGAATCAGTTCATATTATCACCAAGTCTATCCCAGATTGAGATCTTTAGAACGTTGCAAACCGCATTTATATAGATCACGATCTTCAAAAGTTATGAAAGGTTTACATACTTACACACACACGCACGCACACACACACACACATACATACATAAATCCGTACGGACGTCCACGTGAAATTAGTTAAAATAGCTTCCTGGGATCTACAAACCTTCGAGATCTGATGAAAACTCGATTTCCGGAAATCGGGGTGAAACCAATAACTTCCCCATTTTTTTAAATTTTCAATTTTTTTAGCGGGCAGTTAAAAACATGAATAAAATCTTGAGCATCATATACTCACACATAACTTCGCCAGTACTCCCCGATTGGTTTCTTTGCAAATTTGCAGATTTGTTCCGAGTGTCGAAAGCGCCTTCTTATTGAGGATTCTTCTCGTATCATCGTTACAGGGATCAGGGTCTGCATTTTTGTCCCAAATCCCGCCGTCATATTTTCTTTTTAATTTTTCTTCTTTTTGAAAAGTATCGTCATCCAGTTCTGGATATTGAAAATCATAACTTTCAGGCGTGCCACGTTCGGCCATTGTTTCTCCGTTGAGTACTCTGTAAATAAAAATCAATAGGCTGGATATTTGACGCTCATTATAGGAATATCACGCTTGTGATTTGTGTACTAAAGTACAAGACGGTATACCGCCTTCTACCTCGGGTTATAAGGTTTTACGAGTCGAAATGGAGTAATGCTTTATTTTTCTTTATTTTTCTATTTTGTAACGCTACTATTAAGAAGTAATTCTAAAGGAAACAAAATGTTGCTGAATTAGACTTATATACAACCCTTTTTAATGGAAACGGGGCATCTAAGTGCTCAAGGGTGACTACATATCTACATTTTGATTGTTAATCGAGGACAGATGTAGATGTCTATGGGCCACAGCCCACAGCATCCATTTCCCATCAGGTAGACTGTGTGCTCTTTTATCTCCCTTTTTATAGAAAATATACATATTGTTGTTCGATCGTTAGAATCGGTCAGATCGTATCCTGCCTGCCTGCATTTCATGATACGCCGCCATTTCATGTTTTAGGCGATAATTTATCCGCTCCAGCACTTTGTGCCTAATTTTCATACCTAATATAAAAAAAACACTTTGGCTTTGGCCATTTTTGGCTTTGGGCTGATAATACTAGGTAGGTGCTTTCGTATTTTTATTATATTAAAATAAATGAAAATTATAAAATATCGGTACAATTATGAAATTACAACGTATCATGAAATTATTTTTTTCAGCGTAATATAGCTTAATGCTGCTGTATTTCGTATGGTTAGTGAAAAGAACCAGAGTCCCTTTTTACTGAAAACGATGCATTTCATTTTTGTCCTCAGACATGACAACTCATTCGAATTTTGATTCTTAATCGAGAATAGATGTAGATGTGTATGGGCCGCAGCATCCACTTACCATCAGGTGGATTGTGTGCTCGTTTATCCCTCAATTGTATAAAATATAGATGTAATTTTTTATCTTAATCTAACTTACTACAGTAAGTTTTACTGGAAACGAGGTATGGTCTTATACGTGGTAGAGCCATGCTCCAGTTATATTAGTAGTATAGTTGTAGCACGAATGGGTCGGCTCGACTGGGGAAGGACCACGCTCTCACAGGATACCAGCGTAAAATAGTAGCTTAATGCTGCTATGTTTCGTAAAGTGAGTGTAGACAACCGGAGACCCTTTTTACTGGAAGCGAGGCATTTCGTCTTAGTCCCCACGGGTGACAACGCATCTGCATTTTGATTCGTAATCGAGAATAGATGTAGATGTCTATGGCCCACAGCAACCACTTACCATCAGGTGGACTGTGTGCTCGTTTGTCACCCTATTCTATAAAAAAAGTAAAAAGCAGATAAGTTATTTTAATGTACTTACATGGCGGTGAACACTAGTATAATAACGGCAAACATTTTCAAATTCTTTTCCGTAAGTCGTCGTGAAAAATTGTTACAGGCCACAATGTGTGTAGCCACGGATCTGCCTTCGGTATTTATACTAAAATATCGATAAATATGTTAATGCCCGTTTAAGTTATTCAATTATTATTACAATGAGTTGTATATTAAAATATTATAATATCATATACCGTGCTAAGATTCTCAAAGGTCTGAAATGATCCGTTTAAAAAGACGGTGACAATGAAAGTATTTTCTACATTTATTTTATTTATTTTAAAAACTTTATTGCTTCGCCTTAGACAAAAAGGCGGACTTAATGCCTAAAGGCATTCTCTACCAGTCTTTCCATGGAGTGGTGAATTTGTCGTAAGTGTAGCAATTAAAAGAAAAGAAAAAAAAGATAAACTAAAATTAGTATGCATTATACGTAGCAAAACTGATTATGATTGTAATTAAATATATATATATATATACATATATATATATATATATATATATATATATATATATATATATATATATATATATATTCGTACATTTACATATATTAACACATATTCATAATATTATATTAACGCATAACATTTATATGCTAATAAACATACATAAACATACATACATACACGTATATGGATATAAATATACATAAATACAAAGTTAATAATATACAAATACATATAAATACGACTATTTAACTGTATTGCAATTATAATGATTCTCCAGTAAATACTCGCGTACCATCTTTTTAAAGGAGTATTTGTTCGGCGCCTTTCTGATATCATCAGGCAAGGAATTCCAGAGACGTGCAGCCTGCACAGTGAAGGAGTTACCATAGAACACGGTGACATGACTAGGAATATAAATCTTGTTATTAAAGGAAGATCGTAGAACCCTATCATGACAAGAAGACATAAACACTCACGCCTGTCACCCAGAGGGGTAGGCAGAGCCTACAGATTTCCATTTGGCACGATCCTGACACACCTCTCTCGTCTCCTTCACATCCATACACCTACGCATACATGCTCGTCGGTTAAGGGTACTCCTAATTTGGCCCGTTTCCAATAAATCGCCAATTTGGTCGATAAATTTTCGCCTAGGACGTCCCTTTCCGACTCTGCCATTCACTTCTGCAACATAAATTTTCTTTGTCACTCTTTCCTCATTCATTCTTTCCACATGACCAAACCACCGAAGCATTCCTTTCTTAGTCCTGGTCACAACATCATCTTGCAAACCACACTCTTCTCTTATTACACAATTTCTTACCCTGTCATTCAGATTCAGCCCTAACATACTCCCTAACGACCGCATTTCTGCTGCGTTTATTCTACTCTCGTGCTTCTTCTGCCACACCCAACTTTCACTACCATACGTTAAAGTAGGGACCAACACAGCATTGTGAATTGCCATACGTGCCTTTTTCGACATATTTTGACTCTTCACAATAGAGTGCAAGGCCCCATTTACTCTATTTCCCGCATTCACTCGTCGTTCTATATCCTTATCATATCTCCCATCCCTGCTAAACTTTAGCAGGGATGACAAGAAGACAGATATTGAAATCGTTCTTTGAGGTAAGAAGGCGAAAGGCGATTTGACTTAGTCACCACGCTTGAGAAGCGGGTTGGCACCGCAGTTTTATTTTTAGGGTTCCGTAGTCAACTAGGAACCCTTATAGTTTCGCCATGTCTGTCTGTCCGTCTGTCCGTCCTCGCTTAATCTCTGTGACCGTTATCACTAGAAAGCTGAAATTTGGTACCAATACGTGTATCAATCACGCCGACAAAGTGGTAAAATAAAAATTGGAAAAAAATGTTTTATTAGGGTAGCCCCCTATATGTAAAGAGGGAAGTGATTTTTTTTTAATTTCAACCCTTACGTGTGATATATTGTTGGAAAGGTATTTAAAAATGATAGGGGTTTACTAAAATCATTTTTTGATAATGTCAATAATTTCGGAAATAATCGCCCCAAAAGTAAAAAACAATTTTTTCCCCCCCCCCCTCTAACTTTTGAACCATAGGTTTAGAAAATATGAAAAAAATCTGAAAGGTAGAACTTTATAAGGACTTTCTAGGAAAATTATTTTGAACCTGGATGGAAACAGTTTTTGTACAAAAAAGACAAAAAGTTGTACAAAATAATTTCTGGACAAAGTTTGTAGTATAATCGTTTAAGCAGGCATTTTTTTAACTTCGTTTACATATTTTATTATCCTGAACGTATCTTTTTTCAAACAAAAAAAAGAATTATTAAAAAATTATCCAAAATTACCACCGAAAACTTCTGGCACGTCTATGTATTAATTAGTAACCCAATTCCCCGAGAGATGGCGCTGTATGTACTTATTACATTGGGTTGGGTATTATCGAATTGTTCGGTTGGTCTCTCCTTGGCATCGCCTGTCGCGGAGCGTGCAATGTTGCACGCTCCATGTTCGCGCACGTACCCACTACCGGGAGCAGTTGCAGGAGCGCGGAGCGCTGCCGGAGCGCGAACGTAATGGATACCCACCTTTAAACTCATAAGTGGGAACACTTATTGTGACGGACGGGAAACTACGGAACCCTACACTGAGCGTGGCCCTACACGCTCTTGGCCGGTTTTTTAATGTAGATAATGATTTTAGTAGATAGACTACTAACATTAGTTTTAAACGAAAAATACACAATTTTCTATTCATCATTAACTGTAATTAAATAATCTTTAAGTACTTATAATAAAAACAAAAGGGCTGCACGATAACTAAGCCTATCTTTGTCTTGTTATTTTTTAGGTTAAAGAATCAAAACGAACGGGAGCTGGAGCCAATGATGTCCATGTTCCTAACCTTTGGTATTTTAATTTGTTGCTGCCTATCCTTGATAAGAAAGATGAGCAATCTAGATGTGGGGTGGACACGCTGTCCAGTGATGAAGTGAGTACCTTATTTTAATATTTTGAAAAATTGCCTAAACAAATTTTTAAGGCAAATTTTACTTTGACATACTTTGCTCCTAAAATAGATAAAGGCGTTATATTTTCTCTAATAAAAAGAAGACAAAAGTTAAATTTCGTGTAGTATAGTGTTTAATTACAAAATCATAAAACCAAATGACAAAACTATCTTACGAAATTACAAAATTCTAAGATTCTTAAAGTTTTCGTATAGTTTCTATTGTCCACTAGATAGGTGATTGATGATTTTTTAGTAAATAGACCGTAAGTCGAACGAACCAAAATATTGGTCAGACAACCGATGTCTACACTGTCCATTTTTACATCAACCTGACCAAGGTCATGACGGTCGGTGGTTGGTCCCGACCATGTACAAGGCCTTTTAGTGTTACGCGCTGACCCGTGTTTGGCGTCGGGTTTTACTGGCCCTCAAACCTCAGACATGCAGAGTTTCTCCTGAAGTATGCTCTAGCCGAATACGTGGTTAACCAGTACTTAAAATTTCAATTAACAATCGTTAAAAAAATTAAGGAACGATCACAATTACGACATAACTACTCGTACTCACATATCCGAAATAGTATTTCGAATATATGAATGTGAGTTGAGGCACTTTTTTAATTCAAAATTTAAGAAACAAACTGATATATAAAGTAAAACTATTTTTAGCCCTACAGCAGAACCCACACATGGTTTCATTGCTATGGTCTATTAACTATAAACTATTACCTTGTATAAACTATTATTGATATAATGGTAGATTTATATATTTATTAACTAATCAGCTTATCTCTAAGTATATTAATAAATATATAAATTTGAGATAAATCAGGTATAAACACATCAGAACATGCAATTTACTGTAATTGTGTTATCACCTAATACTATCAATATATTATTATATACTTGTTGGCTTCACCTGAGATTCAAACACGTATCCTGACATACAATGTATTTATTGTACACACTTGGCTACGCGATCCTATTAAATAAAGAGAATACATTATTTTGAAAATAAACCAAATTGTCTAGCTCGTGTTTCGATTGGGTTATGTTTTCAATTATTTTCCCCACACGACTGTGATGATTTATTTGAAAAACTTTTGTAAGATCTAAAGTAACAAAACTAGGCTTATAACATAGAGTCTAGTTGGAGTTTATCTTAGCAGGTGGGCCAAAGAGAGCCTGGCAATTAAGGACAAGGACGTGATAGACCCGAACTAGATCAGGTGTGTGGAGAACAAAAGAAATTGTCGCGGCTCTTAGAAAAGAAAACCGTCACGATGTTCATGGTATTTTGTAAGGGGCCATTCTTCAATCACGTGAGGTTTTTAGCCCACTGTCATACCCCTCCCTCCCCTTTGCTGATACGTCGTGAGGTTTTAGGCTACCGCTCCCTTGTCCGAGCATAATTTTTTTAAATTAAAAATATTAGATATTTGTAGAATCTGTTGTAATAAAAAATTGGATTCTGGAAAACAACGAATATTAATGAAATTGAAAATTAAGTTGAAAGAAATAAGTTTATTTGGCACACACATTATAACACAGAAAATATAAATCAAATAAAACAGAAAGAAAATATTTTTCATCTTAATAAAAATATTTAAAAAAGAAATAACGCAGAGAAACTCTGAGCATAGCTCGCTGGTTAAATACCAGTCCGAAAGTTGTGTTCAGTTGAGATGAATAATACTATCGCTGATAACCGTACCTTCCTGAATTAGACATGTTAACAGTCGTACTTATCACACGTATTTTTTGATTAGCAGAGATGATGCTATGGCCAATAAATAAGGAATCATAGTAGGTTATTGCTGTAGCTGCCTTGACAGTAAGCCAACAGTAGGCTGCTGTGCTCATATGATATAGTGTGGTATTTGAGCTGGTGACGGTATAATGACGTAACTGCGCGGGCAACGGCTTTAGATGACTTTTTTTCAGGATTATGATTAATTATTTAAATAAATGTATTTTAAATAAATATTTTTGACTTTAAATCGCTATTAAAAAACTCAAATGGACTTGTTTGTTTTATTTTTACTATCACTTACCTAATTGATTCACAACCACATGAGCTTGAGCAATAGTGTCTGTCATTAATTGAATCTTATCTTAGATCATTAAAAGATTCGAGACGCTCTCTTGACTCAACACGTGTTTTTTTTAGGTCTGATTGGTTACCCTTACGATGAATTATTGATATTGGTGTGGTAGTATGATCGCGGTGGCATCCTATTATGGTATAACCTTTGGATACACTACCCACTCATAGTATTGGCAATATGTATAAAGATGGGGCAAATATCAGAGTTTCATGTCCGCATCCACTCCGCAACTCGTAATTCTTACTAATATTAGTAGATTACTGTTTTTGGAGGAATAATGTTCGTCCAAGGTGCCTATTTAAAATAGGTCGTTGGAAGCGTCGAAAAAATAGACCTACACAGTTTTTAGGTCATTTTTGATTTTATAAAATAACTCCAAAACACGGATTTTTTTCTTCAAAAAGGAGTTTTGTAGTTAACATGATCAATGTAGTCTATAAAAAATAAATTCGATTTTGATGCAGCATGGTACGGGATTCCATACATCTATGATCATCCAAATGTTAAGAAACAATAAATGATTTAGTGAGGTTTATCTTATATATGCTGCACAATATATATTCTTTGGTTACAGAACAAATTAAAACACATTTCTAATTTATTTATTTATTCATTATTACATATTGCCAGTTTTGAATTATATAAATATTAAATTTTACATCAATTTGTCGTCTTTTCTATAGGATTATGAAGTTGTGTCAATAAGGCCCGTCACCTGCGCGGCTAGACGCAGTGTCGGCTGGTATAACCGAGATCCTTGGCTTGAATCCATTTTCATCAGCCTCGTACTCTACCACCTGGAAAGAACAGAATACATGGCATGAAAATGTATTAATTTAAACACGTTTTCACTATGTCACTTTCTATTTTTTGCGTTGGGTCTTTGCAATTCAAATTTCGAACACTTCCCGATGGGCTAGGGACTTGAAATTTTGATCATAGCTCAGAATCAAAAATTGCAGCTGAAAAACGTGGTATATTAATTTTTTAGGACAAAGTTTAAAAAATATACTTGTTTGTACACTTTCGTTTGTTGACAAATTATAGCAACTAGCTACTGTAGTCCAAGGATAAAAAGTAAGAGATCAAAAACAGAAACGGAAACTTTTTTATTCAATATAAATTACTTTTTTAATATACCACTGATTCGGAAAAAAACTCTGTCCTGAGAAGAACAAGCAAAAAACCCAGCGGGATGTTTTTTAGATAACATATTACAGTCATGTACTCGTATGTTATAATTAACGACACAATAAATTAGGCTGTGCGATCACTACCCAGGGGTTATTATAATCCATATCTGAAGTGTATAAGAGTTGTAGAGAAATGTAGAAGAAACTCAGTGTAATAACAGGCCATGAGGTATTCCATCTTAGTCCTCATTGATGCCAATTCTTTATTTACACGTATGTTGGTTGCAGGTGAACACCTGATTGCTGCCACGTTCCATCAGGTGGACTGAAAGTTTGTTTTTCAATTCAATTTTTTTATAGAAGAATGGTGACAAACGAGCACACGTTCCACCTGATGGCAAGTGGGTGCTGTAGCCCATAGACATATACATCTGTATCCGATGATGAATCATAATGCAGATGCGTTGTCACTCCGAAGGACTAAGATAAAATGTCTTGTTCCTAGTAAAGAAAGAATTAACATTCACAACCTCTTACAATGCAGACTGTCTTACTATAAAGTTAAAGTTACAGCCTACATACGTCCTACGTAGTGGGACGTATGTGGGATGTAAGAGAAATGAGAGAACTCTACACGTCTTTGAAATTTTTTTATGGTTCTCAGACATGCAGGTTTCCTCACGATGTTTTCCTTCATCGTGGAGCACGTGGTAAATCAACGCTTAAAATTGCTCGCGTACTGTGAAAATTTATATATTGTATTTCAGTGTGTCTTACTACACTAAAATACAATAGTATTCGCATTTGTGTTTGCAGAAATAGGAAATACGATAGGTGGAATTTACCCGGGTTCCAAAGCAGTAGAGCTGATGAAGATGATTTCAACGTACCTGTTTGGTTCCATCAGGAAGTACGACAAAGTACGCCCCTTCTGCTTTATCGTCCTGCCGGTTTTCCGCGTGGCCAAAGTCACTTCCGCTCTCGTAGTCGCTCACTTTGTAGGAGAACTCGTAGTTCGCTGGTTCCTGTGTATTTTGATTAGTAAGTTTGAGTAATAGAACGTGAAGTAATATCCAGTACCCCATATCGTCCCGTGGGTGTCGCAAGAGGTGAGACGGAGAAATACAAAGGCAACAGCGTGTTTGCTATCCTTGTCTCTAACCTATGGAGTGACCCCCCCCCCGGGTATGTTCACAGTGGTCTTCGATAGTCTTTATTGAATGAATTAATGGCATTGATACATTTAGAGTATTTATCAATTCCCTTAATTTGCGTGTTTGTGCAAAACGCAGCGTAGTCGTTATTTGTGACGTTTTTAGGAGCTATCTACTTGTTATTGAATTGATATATCTACTAATAAAAAAACCTATTACATCTCTACACAATCTTGAATTCATAATAGCCAATTCCAGTTTTTTTAAAGGAGTAAATACTTGATGAATCTTCCTACAACTAAACCACAGATATGCGTATTAATTACTAATAATGAAAAGTTATTATATAAAAATTATTGATGACATACATCTCCTAATAAAGTAAACATTATTACACGTCTCATGAGCGAAGCGTTGAGGTCACAGAACACTATGTTGAGGTTGTGCTCTACTCTCACCTAATGGTGTTAAGTAAAGTCGCTCAATACGTAAGTAACATCATGTATTTTATTAACTGCATAAAATATTATAAATCTAAACAAGGTTATAGATATTCATTGTAATAACAATGTACATTTTAGACACACAAATAACAAGGTATAACAATAATTATTATTACTCACAATTTATCTTCCGTGTACGTATTCTCTACTCAACAGTTTTAGTAAGACTGCCGCTCGTAGCTGCCGCTTATCGCTGCCGCTCAAACCGACGACATCTGTCTTTTATAGGCTTGTAATTTAACAGTGCTAAAGTACAGATGGCGTTGCTTGTGTGGTTTCCGTTATAGGTTTTTAATAAAATTGGATATTTAAGCCGTAAGTTTTTACATTATAAAACATTATTTATATTTCTTATTATTATCTTAAACAGTTTTACATTCCAGTTATAAATATAAGCAAAAATAAATAACTAGACATATTGTTCCGCAGACTTTATAGGATGAAAATAATTAATTACCCACCATGTTAGTTACAACAATATAAATTATTAAAATACGCTAACAATGGAAATCCAGTAATTTACTGAGCTAAAAATGTCTTCATTTTTTAACTACCGCACTTTAAGAATAATGAAAATACACATATATCGAGAAAAATCATTCGTTTTCATGTTTCTATTATTATTAAAAGTAATTTTTGTATTTAGTGTAAAAACAAACTGATTGAAAAAAATTATCGAGGGTGCCCGGAAGTCTGTATTAATTATCGTAGTCGTTAGAATTAATGTATCAAAATAATTCTTTTTTTTATTAGGTTTAGAATCACAACGCACAGGTTCCTTTAAAAAAATCACTGAGTAATTTGTTCTCGTTTAATTGTAATTAATGAAAATGTAAAAAAAACAACTGGTACTTTTCTAAAAAAAAATATTCTCATGGATCTCTTCTTTCGTCTCAAATATAGAAAAAGAGATATTTTTCTTTTATATAATCAAATATATAAAATAATAATAATATAACACTGTATTATAATATAATATGCCGTGCTTTGTGGCATTACTTGGGGGAGGCCTATGTTCAGCAGTGCACTTGTGAAAGGCTGTAATGATGATGATAATCAAATGAGATTATAGAGGCGTGCACTTTTGGATTTTCCAAACTTTTTTTATTTTACGATTGTCACTAATGGATAGGCAATTTATTAATGAACATTTTTATCTATTTAATTTTTTCAAAAGATAAATATTCGATTTTATAAAGAAAATATTTTAAAATTTGGGTGAATTTCTTACGCGATATATTATTGTAGAGAGAGCGCGTGGAATGTATAGAACCGAATGCTGCAGGTCGTTCGCTAGGAGTAGCGCCTTAATTGGCCTCCCTTTTAGATTGTCTTGTAGGCTTTTGCTATAGTTGCCACGCTTGCAAGGCGGGATGGCAAAAGAAAAATGCTGCTGCCTATATCCTGTTTCAGTTTCCCTCTATCCCCACTTACGACACCTACGGGATGAGATGGGGTAGCGGATTTTCTTACGCCGCTGTTTAACGCTTCGATATCCTTGTGCTTGCTTACTTGTAATATTTCGTTTACTTGACTTTGTAGTTCTTACCTGATTAAGCAATTCTAAAGAATTTCTTGCATAGCTCTCGTAGCTCTGGTCTGAGTATCCGTCGAGGTTTCTTGAAGCCCCGTACTGCGGCGAGGGCATGGCGGTACGAGATGATGGTGCACCGTATTCCCGAAATGGTGATCTGTTAAACCCAAAATGAATGTTATCTCTTGTGAACTGCCCTGGTTTATTAAAAATCACCAGTGTGTCCAAAGTATGGATAGATATTTTTTTTGGGATGGTGTGACAAACGAGCACACAGTCCACCTGGTGGTAAGTGGTTGCTGTTGCCCGTGGACATCTACATCTATCCTCGATTACGAATCAGAATGCAGATGCGGTGTCACCCGTGAGGACTAATATGGAGTGCCTCGTTTCCAGTAAAAAGGGTCTCCGGTTCTACACTCACCATGCGAAACACACCAGCATTAAGCTACTAAGCTACTATTTTACGCTGGTAATCTGTGAGAGCGTGGTCCTTCTCCGGTTGAGCCGACACATTCGTGCTACAACTATGCCACTAATATAACTGCATGGCTCTACCATAGTATAAAACGATCAACATAAGGTTTCTGCCATACATATAGACTTACCGTACAATAAGTTTTAACCCGTGTTTTACTAACTACCCCGATGGTAAGTGATTATGTTAAATAGATGAAGAATGTTAAAGCATAGTGATTTTGCTTAAAAGACTCCTACATTGTAAACGAATGACTATTCTATTCATTTCTGTACGCATAACGAACGACGAGGAAAACTATTTACATGATTGTTTATTATTAGACCTGGAGCCAGAGAAGAAATTCAGAGTTTTGCTTCGTCTAATACATTGAACCGTGATATAAGTCTATTTTTACGTGGTAGAGCCACGCTGCAGCTACGTTATAGTTGTAGAATGAATGGATCGGCTCGACCAAGTTAGGACCACGGTCTGGACCCGCTTATCGTATGGTGAGTGTATAGAACCAGAGATCCTTTTTACTGGAATTCAGGCATTCCGTCTTAGTCCTCAGGGTTAACAACGCATTTGCTCATTTTGATTCTTAATTGTGGATTAATGTGGATGTCTATGGGTCACAGTATCCACTTACCATCAGGTGGACTGTGTGCTCGTTTGCCAACAAATGAATTTTAGAAAGACAATTAAATTAAATAGTCTTTCTTACTTACTTACTTACTTATCTTCACGCACAATCCCTAACGGGGTAGCCAGAGAGAACAGATCGCCAAGTGTCACGATCCTTACATACCTCTTTCGCTTCTTTCAGGTTCATTAACTTCTTCATACATGCACGTCTAGGTACCCGAGTAGTCTTGACGTCCCTCTCAGCAATTTGCTCACATGGTCTTCGAAAGTTAGTCTCGGTCTACCTCGACACCTTTTAATATTTACTTTCGCTCTATATATTTTCTTCACCATTCGGTTTTCACTCATTCGCTCAACGTGCCCAAACCATTGGAGTACGCCCCTATCAATTTTTGTGATAAGGTCATCTTTCAATCCTGCCATATTGCGAATCTCTTCGTTTCGCTTTCGATCGGCTATGGTAACGCCACACATTTTACGAAGAGATCGCATCTCCACTGCATTCAACTTGCTTTTATGCTTCTTCTGGCATACCCAGGTTTCGCTGCCATATAACAAAGTCGGTACCAACACTGCGTTATGTATTGCAAGGCGTACACTCTTCACCACGCCTTGCCTTCTGTCTAATGCATTCAGGGCACCATTGACTTCCGGCAGCGACGCGCCTATCCACATCTAAATCACATCTTCCATCCCGGCTGAAAGCACTCCCCAAGTATACAATTTCATTTACCTGTTCTAGACGTTCCTGATTTACCCATATTTCACATTTCGTTCTCTCTTCGTCCTTTTCAAATACCAGAACCTTAGTTAAATAGTCTTTCTAATATTAAAATTTTTAATTATTTACAGCATATACAATGGTCAAAGAAGTTCTTATGTTTCTTTGACCCTATGACAAGTTTATATAATGATTTCACCAAATATAAATAGCCCTTGAGCTACCATGGACGGAATACTTATAACTATGTATTAAATACATTATACATACCTAGCTGATGGATAAGATGAAGCAAGGGTGCTTGATTTCAAAGCTGTTCCTGTTTCTGGCACACCATATTCCTGAGAGGTACTCCTTCCATTAGGTCTGTTGTACGTTGTCGACAACACACCTGATTCACCATAATATGCACCAGCATTTCTAGCTTCAGGTGCACTATACTGAGTCGCCAGAGTGTTAGCTGGTGTTCCATAAATTTGGGAAGGACTGTTTCTTGATGATTTGGCGAGACTTTGAGCGCCAAATGAGAAATCTTCTAATGTCTTATGCGCCTGCTGTGCATTAGATCTTGAAGAAAGTGAATATTCCTGTGATACGGAGCCAGAACGCAACTGGCTACTACGAGATTTGGGCACACCGTATTTTTGAACGGTCGAAGAGCTTCTAGTATTCGAAAAGCCACTGTTTCTTTGGAATGCGGCATTGTATTCTTCAGTATTCGTTGGTTGGAATTCAGGGGCACCGTATTGTGTGGTTGGAGACGATCTGAGTGATGGAGCACTGTATACGTCCGAAGGAGACGTTCTTACAGCACCGTACCGTTGCGATGTTCCTGTTTTTGACTTAACTGCCGAAAAGCTCTGTCCCAAAGAGCTAAGAGAGTCGTACTCTTGTGAGAGACGGACTGACGGTGCATAATCCTGTGATAATTTACTCCCAGATTCTGTACCACTGCGCAAGTTGGGATATCCATGTTCCTGAGATAATCCGCCACGGAAGCTAGGAGGTCCATATTCTTGAGAAATTCCCCTAGTGTTTGGTCCATGATATTGGTGAGAATTGGTGTTAGTAAATGCTTTGGAGTCTCGTACAGATGATTCAGGTAAGTCCGGTAAATATTGTTGAGGAGACTCTTCGTGATCTGATCGGGCTGCTGCTAAGTAACTATCCCTATAATTTAGTAAAAAAACATAAATTACTTGTTATGTATATTCCTTTCATAGAGTGTAACTGTTATGTTTGATAAATTTGGAATTTTTATAAATGGTTCGTAGTACATTACGATACAATGTGACGAATTGAAAATTTGTAGAATACTACTCGAAAATGATTATAATGACAAAAATTATGTCAAAAAATAAAATATAAAGATGTGTTAATATGGTATGTGATATATGATATATATGATAGATAGATAGCAGACCAGGCCAGGCAGACGTAGTTCTGGTCGGACGGAGGACATTATTATTATTCTTGACTTCAAATATAATGCTTTATGCAAGCCAAAATTAATGAAAATTTGACTTTTCTTAGTGTTATTTAATTTACTAACATCGTAAGAAATACTGAATGATTTTTTACCACCTGGAAAAAATAGGGTGTACCAGGTCAACGGAATAAAAGCCTACGGCACTGATATTTTACATTTTTTGTTACATTATCGTATTATGAAATTGATCTATCAATAAATACCACTACTTAGGTGCGTATTATTTCAATTTGGATAGTTTTCAATTGATTTATTTATTTAGTTCAAAATTTTTGTTCTTATTTTTATTAGGTTATTTCAAATTAGTAATATTTATTGATAGATCAATTTCATAAAAACATGTTGATGTAAAAGCAAAAAAAATATCAGTGCCATAGTCTTCCACTCCGTTCACCCGTAACACACTGCTTTTTCCAGACGGTAAAGAAATTCATCTATTATAGAACAATCAAACGCAACTCACGCAACCGATGGCTCAGCCATGGCGAACGAGAACACACTTAATAAAAGGAATAACATCTGCAAGAAATAAAAAAATGTTTTTACATATTTTTATTATAGAAGAAGCGTGGCAAACGAGCACACAGTCCACCTGATGGTAAGTGGATGCTGTGGCCCGTAGACATATGCAAATTCGCTGTCACCCCTGAGGATTAATATGAAATGCCTCGTATCCAGTAAAAAGGGTCTCTATATCTCTACACTCACCATAAAAAACACAGCAGTATTCAGCTGCTATTTTACGCTGGTATTCTCTGAGAGCGTGGTCCTTCCCCGGTCTTCGTGCTATAACCATAATATAGCTGCAGCGTGGCTCTACCACATATGAGCTGACATTATAGCTGAAGTACAAACGGTTCAGCTTGACCGGGGAAATTTCACGTTCTCACAGAAAACCAGCGAAAAACAGCAGCTGTATGCTGCTTTCGTGTGGTTAGTTACTATAACTAAAGTCCATTTTACTGGTTGTATAAATACCATCTTTATTCCTAAAGGTGGCAACGAATCTGTATATGGGCCACAGCATCTTGTGGACCACAGCATCCACTAACCGTCAGGTAGACAGCGTACTTATTTGTCGCCCTAGCTTGTATAAAAAATGTATTTCTATGTTTGATAGTAATATTGTTGCACTATAGGATGTCCTGCTTAACTGAATTGGTACGCTGGTAACTTCCGATCGCATTTGATTGTGGCCGAAAGTGGGCAAAGAGAACATACAATAGCGACAATATGTACATCTCTACTCCAACTTATTAATGTCCTAAATTAATGCTGTTAAAACTGATAATAATTAAATTATTATTAATTTAAATATAAAAATAATCTACCCACTTTTACACGTTGAAACTGAACTGTTCCAGATGAAACGAACCTGTTGAATACTTTATCAGAAACATCTTGCACTATTTATATTGATCGTTTGACTGAAGGAAAGCTCGACCGCATCACAGGCTACGTTTCACAACTACATTGCACCGAATATTCGACTCTATATCATTATAATAAGAACAGGTAGAGTCAGAGGAGGTGCAAACACACGTGTGTCAAAATTCGTCCTATTGTTGATAAAAACCTTCATAGCATGCGTGTGACGACACCGAAGATCAAACGTGGATCATTACCAGTAACCTTCATGACTGAATTAGATCAACTGATCAAGATCTATGGTTTTAGAATGTCCCGTTGAAGTCTTTATTCATAAATTAAATGAAGGTTTTAGTCAGTCTGGATGTTTGGAGAAAATATATTCTAATTAATGATCAGTTCCGAAACTATACATTTTTTTCTTAATATCTGATGCTAAAGTAAAAAAAGAAAAAATAATTCTTATTTTCACACAAATATTTGAGAAATCCTTATTTAACATAACATCTATTATAAAAAAATAACATAATTTAACAAGTTATTAATGGTAGTTGTTTAGATCTATGGTAGCAGTTAGAAATTTAATAAGGTACGTAAGTGTAATATGGTCGCCTGAAGCTTTGCCGTCCTATAAAATCAAAACTAAGGCAGGACAGAAACACAAAGTCGTACACTTTAACGAATATATTAAGAACAAAATAGCGAATAAGCTTTGGCAATAATTAGGAACACTTCGAAAAATCAACTTAAAGAAAAACTACCCATACTACACACTACTAAAATCGACTAATTATTTACTATAATGTCAACTGCCAAAGTAGCATCGATAAAGCAGTGCCCTTTTAACCCTATATTATTTTATTGACAGATGAAGAGCTATCGTATAACAGAGCCATCTATGCAAACAAGGCTGTAGTTTTTAAGTTATAAGAAAGTGATGATTTTACCCGGATGACCATATAACCCTCATTTACTAAGTATGTAAATCAATATATTACGTCCTTTAAAAAGAGTTTCGGTCACGACGCCCATTTTCATTTCAACAGAGTCTACCATCTGGGCAGGGCAGGATTATGGTACACAAGTGTGTGCGCAAGCACACGTGGACTCACTATTTACTGAATCACACGCCAATCCGACACGACCTGGCATGAGAGAGATCAGGCACAATTTATTCACAGAAAAACTCTGTAACTGATTTTAACCCTGTAATGTCGGGAGGTTCGGGGAATAAATGATAATACGTCTACTGGTCTTGAATGTAGGTTTATTACTATCCCTCTCCTATTCCATCCTGCATATATATTATAACCATATACGCCCATCGGCAAAAAGAAAAAAAAATAGAATTACAAAAATATTTTTATTTCAATGAATTTAAACTTGGTGTAAAAAATCAAAAAATTGTACATTATTTTAAAATATTAAAATTCTTATACCTACAACATATTTATAACATAATAAAATAAAACATATTTATAACATAGTAAAATAAAAATAAAATATCGTAAACACCGTAATTTAAATAAAATAACTTTTTATCTCTGTATTTAAATTTATTAAACAATCATCAAATTCCTTACGTAATTGTATTGAATCTTTAAGTTTTTGTTGTGAAATAATTTTAGTTCGCCTATCATTACCGCATAACTTTTAAAATTTTCATATATAACTATTAATTCACTGACTGAAAATACAGTTTTTAAAACAAAATAGTTTTCAAAAATATAACATAAGGTGTTTACAAATTTTTTTTTATATTCTTATACTTAAACTGTATTATTCATTTTAAATTTTACAAATCTAAAAGAAGCTAATGCCATTGAAATACATAGTATCCTTACTTTTAAGTAGATACACTTCGGCATACTTATTTAAATCACACTGTAGTGTGAGTATATACATTATTAAAACTATTCTTACATTAGGGCCCTACTAAATCTAAATAAACTCTATGAAAAGTGGAATATCCTATAAATCGGTTATAACCATAGGTACATATATTTTTATTAATTGTTTATGTCGCAACACTTGACACATCGATTTGCATAATTAGTAGGATGTTGCTAATTATGTATGTCGTATCTAACTCTGGTTAAAAGAATATTTTCTTTGCATTACATATAGACAGTTAGTTGGCAAAAAATGATCGTCGTCTTATAAGTCGTTTAATATTACACGTTTTGTCTCACGGCGGTTCTAGTGCAACATAATCAAAACAGGGATCAAATACAACTTACAATCTCAGCCGCGTAAGCGGTTTGTGACACCTTTGTTTTAATTTCTAAGTATGTTCGTGGGAAAGTTTTTTCGATTACGTTGTATAATGGTACCTAGTTTTAACCATGCATTAAAATTGTATTATAAATAAAATGAATTTAACTTTCCCAATAGTTTGTACCTCTAAATACATATAGATTGTTACATTCAATTATTCATGTAAAAGTAATATGCTTTTACATAGGTACATTAACAAAAAATCATTAATTAAGTTATTTATAATTTCGAAAACTCATTTTTTCATGACTTGAAATTTATATAAAAAAAAACACTACTAGGTACACAGCTCAAGTTTGTTTTACGAAATATTTATTAACATTGAAAAAGGCAATTTCATTTCAAACATAACTTTTGGTTCCGTTGCCTTTTCTAAAGAAAAAACGTAAAAAGAATACTATTACATTAATAAATTTATAATAATAGTGTATCGATAGACTCTGGACTTTATTTTATAAGCAAAATATAAACCAAATATAGTTTAAAATGTACGAGTTTTATATAAAAAAACATATGACAAAAAAAATCAACCAGATTTATTGTAAATATGAATTAATGTGGTAAAACAATTACGCACACAATACATACACACACAACACATTTTCGTGTAGATGTGTAAATCAGTGCGTGTTGCCAGTGATGACTTACGGATCAGAGACGTGGTCCTTCACTGCTGGCCGTATGAGGACGCTCAAGGTCGCTCAGCGAGCTATGGAGAGGGCTATGCTCGGAGTTTCTCTGCGTGATAGACTCAGAAATGAGGATATCCGCAGTAAAACCGGAGTGACCGACATAGCCCAACGGATTAGTAAGCTACATTTCATTAAGAATCCCTAAAATTTGTGGTGGGCCCATTCTCCTAACAAAAATTAATTGTCTCATTTATTTAATAGTGTTTAAATTCGATACTATTTTTGGGAAGAAATTTTAGAGGGGATTTTTGTGAAGGCAACAAGTTAATTATTTCTTTAAAAGAGTGCGTGAGTAACATACCTATGACACCGATCGGATCAAAAATTAAAAATATACGTGGAGAAAGCTAAAACTTAAATACGAGATACTAGAGCGGGAGCAGAATACAGTGACATGAACAAGAGCTACATCACCCCGAACAAATAATAAATAATAAATAATAATAAATAAATAAATTTTATTTCGTTTTAAGAAGTACATGCCTTAAGAACTGTGGATCGGAACCTCCATTTAAGCAAAAAAAAAATGCCTGTGTTTGGAGGGTCCGCCCTTCCATTACTACATTCATGTTACATGGCAGTATTGGTAAACATATTCTATATCATACATTAAAATTATCTATATATTACTTATATTCTAAAATTAGGACAATCAAACGATAGGAACTAGTCTACTTATAAATACTGTATGATATGTGAGTGAAAGTTTATTTATTTATGTGTGTGTGTGTGTGTGTGTGTGTGTGTGTGTGTATGTGTGTGTGTGTGTGTGTGTGTGTGTGTGTGTGTGTGTGTGTTGTGTCTGTGCTTGCATGAGTTGGAATGAGTGTGTGTGATTAGAGTGTCTGAGTCTGTACAAATCATATAACACAATCCAGAAGCTTCTCAGTTTCGTCATATGTCTTAAGTTGAATCCATTTCGACAAAAGTTTTTTACAGTTATGATATGTTTTGTCGTACATATATATTTCTTTGTTTATTTTATTATAAAGAAAGGCAGAACGCGATATATATTGTCTGCTTGCAAATGTGGTTTTAGCTCTGTACGTCTGGGCAACCATGTTTCTACGACGTTTATTTAAATGGCGTGGATCATAAAATAATGATTTGTGTGTTCTGAGGATTGTCCAGAATATATACAACTTCCTGACAGTGAGTAAACCACTGGTACGATATAGAAGATCAGTAGGAAAACGCCTCTTCTTAAAGTACATAACTTTAATAAGAGATAACTTTAATAATAAATTTATTTGATTATTATTTATTACCACCATAATATAGCTGCAGCAGGGCTTTACCACGTAGGCGTATTCAGCTGTTGATTAAAAAACCTTCAAAGTTGCTCATGACACTACGATTGCCAATGCAAATCCCCTACAGTGGAATAAGTTGACCTCCAGCAGTGGACTGTTACCTTCTGTTAAAGAAGATGAAGTAATATACCAGTACAAATCAGGTTGACCGCTACTGCCCCGTGTCGTCCCGTGGGTGTCGCAAGAGGCGACAGAGGGAAGCTGAAGCTGAAGATGTACAGCAGCAGCATCTTCCTGATAACAACTCAAAATCAAATATAAGCTGTAATAGAGGAAAGGAAAATAGACATGTGTCAATCATGCATGATTCGTTCGTTTGAGCTGGTACACATAAAAGTATTGATGGTTCATTCATTTGTTTTTGAATGTTACAACCAATCACAAACAATTGACGGTACCTTTTTAACTCGAGATTTGTATGAATTGTGAATGAGCCGAAAACCGACCGAATCCCGAATGATCTGAACAAACAGGCCCATCGAATAAACAATTCAGACTGCACAGTATCAGGAGTATTTATTATTTAAGGATTTTTTATTACAATATTGTTACCCAAATTAAAAATTATTTTACATTTTATTATATTTATTTGTTGCATCTATGAGTTAAAAATATAATTTCGTAGAGTTTACTAAAATTAACACTTCAAAAGATTTCATAGAAAAAGATTTATTTAATATGATAATTTTCAACGACCTTATATAAGTATAAGATAGGTAAAAGTTTAATTTTGTAGCAAATAAATGTTACAACCCCTATTTTTAGACATGTAAAGTAAGATGAAATTGTGTATTGTTAAAAATGAAATTTAAAAAAATTATTAAATATTTAAAATATATTGAATAAAGTTACCAAAGTCAAATTAAATCAATTGAATCACTTGAGGTTTTTGTGTTAATGCCATCTAGCGTCAATTGTACTTGCCACCTTGAAAGTCAATAAGTTTCAGTTCGATAAAATGACTTTATTACCTATAGCAAGTAGTAGATGGCGCTATTACAAATCTCAAATAGAAAATTTTCGGTTCCCAATGGATCTCACAGACTCAGAGTACTGGAGCCTGAAATGATCCAGTTGAATGATCGATCGGAATATACCCGTACGCGTGACAAAATGTACTAGAATGATTCGGTCACTAGAAATGAATGAGACACGTGTCTAAAGGAAAAATTGTGTGCGTTTCACTGTATTAACAAAACATTTTTTTGTTAGCTTATGACAATAGCTTTCACTTGATTATTTTGGGTGAGCCTTTTTTAGTATATCCCGATTTAGGTCTTACATGGATTGGCGTTGGTGGTGTGACTATACGCATTGGTTTTTCTGTTATGTATGCGTGATAAAATGTACTACAATGATTCGGTCACTAGAAATGAATGATTGACACATGTCTACTGTACGCGTAGCAAACCGTTTGGTTCGAATACGTGGTAAGTCAACAACGAACGGGTTATGACTGGCCGAACATCTGGTTATCCGATGGTGGAGGGAGAGGTAGGAATTAGATTATGCAATTCCTGCGCACAACCAGATTAGTTTTAACCACATTTTGGTCACCAATAAGCCTTTTAGCACGTCTTTGAGTCCAAGGCTGCTGTGGCATTTTGCAGCACCAGCTCATATATGGCAGCAATACTCCATGCTCTACCGGACTTGCGTTTTATATAAACTAAGCAGCTGTCCCGGCGTGAAGTATCGCCGCACCTTTGCAAGGACTCCTAGCTTCCTTGTAGCTGGCGGAACTGCCGGAAGTTTAGATTTGAGGATATCTCAACCCCCAACAGTTGGAGGTGGTCGGGTTATTCCAGTGATAAATTTTGGAAAGAAAGAGCAAAGGTGAGCTGGCTTATTTTTGCAGTGAAGAGACACCCTTGTGTTTTGGATGCGTTGAATCTCATAAAATTGGCGTCGCCCTGTGGCCGTGAAAGGAAAAGTTTTTTTTTTTGGGGGTGGTGGGGGTTTTTACTTTCAACTGCACATTATTTTATAAAATAAGGTACGCGGTAAACTTTACCGCCCTATAAAACCAAAACTAGGTGGGGGACCGAGACAAAATCACGGAGTCGTATAATATAACTAATATATTAAGAAAATAATCAATAGCAAACAAGCATTGGCAATATTTAGCAACACTGAAAAACCAACTTAATAATTACTAACTAAACTAAAATATTTACGACAATAAATTATTTTTTCTTTCTTAAAATCAAAACCTTTAGTTTTATATTTTACTTCGCACGGGTGATTTCTGTATTTTGACAACAGCGCCACCTACCGGTCCAAATGTGAATCTAAACCATCTAGGGACCCATTCAAAGACACTTAAAAAATTTAGCAATATCGGTCGAGCCGGTTTTGAGTTTTAGCGACACTATATTATTATACATAGAAGATAGAAATATAATGTCAACTGTCAAAATGACGACGATAATGCAGCCCTTTTGACCTTTTATTATTTGATCGACTGTTGACAAGCTATCGTATCACAAATCCATTTATGCAAACAAGGCTATAGTTTTATTGAGTTATAAGTTAGTGACCATATTAACCGGATGACCATATTAAACTCACGTACGTGTCGCTATAGATAGAATTAAACGTAATTTTTCTGCTTTACTCTGAGACAATGGGTGCGTTTGGCAGAAAAAGCGCTAGCAGGCGCTTGTAAGCAAAATGGCGAAACTAAACAGTTTTCGGCCACACAATCCGCCATTTTCCTTTCTTAATTTGTTTGTTTTGAAGTAGAGTTTATATGTTGTTTTGTGCAATATTAGTTTTAAGTAATATAATGACATGAATAGACATATACATTAAAAAATTTATGATTGATAAGTTTTTAATATGAATACTTTACAAACATATATTTAAATTAGGTTAGGTTCCCCGGTTAAAACTAACTTCGTGTCCTAGAGGAAAATAGCAACTTACGATTTGATAGCACTTACCGCTTACGATCACCATTTTGCTTACAAGCGCTTGGTAGCCCTTTTTTCTGCCAAACGCACCCAATGGCAGTATGAACGTAAAAAAATGATTTAAATTGTCTAAGCGACATTTATGTATTTGACATTGACAGTTCAAACATAAACACTATAATAATAATAATAATAAAAAATAATAATAAAATGGCGTAGGGAAGTGACGACCCCATCGCTCGCTGACGTGACGGTTATGTGACAAAACCGCTACGTCCCCGCAGTCAGTCAGCACCTTGCCAAGAGGTGTGAGCGCCGTGCCTCGGCAAAAATTGATGGTGCAAGGGCCCGCTTGTGCATATGGCCTCACCATGAAACGGCGCCGGGTCTGGGCGTCTCCCGTTAAATGACGCCCTGTATGGATGATGGAACACAGAAGATTGCGCAAAGGGCCGCTGCCTGGAGGTCGTCAGGGCGCGTCTGGAGCTGGCGCTGGACGCGACAGCATGCGAACCGCCAGTCGAGCGCGAGGTGCTGCACGACCACCCAGCAGCCCCTCGCATCCATCATCCCCACCAGCTTGCTTGGTGTCGGCAGGGTCTTCGCAGACCCAGCAATCGGCACCCGCCACTGGTGGAGTACGCCGCATGCGATGGACCATCAATATTGAATACAAACGCATTGCGGGCCTATTTTAGGGCGAAAGGGGGAGAAATTGGAGGTTTCGCGTATCGGGCTAGGATTCATCGTCTTTTTACTGAGCTGGAGCCATCTATTACTGTCACCGAGCAAAACCTGGCAGACCGAGTTCGGTATATCTTACGATCAAATATATTTGATGGCGCCGAACTCGAACGGCTACGACGTGAGATTGTTCCCTCATCAAATGAAAACGCTACGACTGGGGGTGCGGTGCCACAAGTTGCAGAACAACCCGCACACGTGGATGCCGCCGAGAATACCCCATTGGTTGCTGATTCAAATGATGATGGAACATTCACCCAGGAACTAGAAATAGAGCAAATGAGGAGTACATTGGAAGAGGCGATTATGGAAACGCGCAGTACGCCTCTCGAAAATCGACCGCGACTTTCCCGCATAGCCCTAAGCAAGCGGAATCGGGCTGTCGTGAGGGCTCTGAACCCAATGCTGGTGACCTATTTGGAAGCCAGCCGGGACCTTTGCGAGACGGACTCAATTCTCTTTGGCGCCGCACTGACAGTCTGCCGTATTATAGGCGCCAAACTTTCCACGGCTGGACGCACTACTGGACAAAGTAGTGCTATCCCAGCCTGGAGAACAAGAATTGAAGAACGTATCGCAAAGGCTAGGGCCCTCATCGGCAGACTGATATGCTTCAGGTCAGGCAATACCAGGCCAAGGATTGTGCGCACCGTCAGGATGGCGTTTGCTGGGACAAATGTTAGTTTGTCCCAGCCGGATATAATGCAAAAACTGACGGAGCGCATAGACGACCTGAAGCAGAGAATCGCTGCTTGGGGAAAGCGAATTCGGCGATATATCGAGAGGTCGACACGGTTCAACCAGAATCGTCTCTTCCAGAGTGATCAGAAGAGGCTCTATAAATCATTGGAGCGTCCAATGGTAAGTGGAACGGGCCCAGTACCGAATCAGGCCGACACGGTCGCATTCTGGCGCAGCCTGTGGTCAGAGCCCGTAAACCACAACGAGGGCCCTTGGACGGAAGTTGTGGCAAGTCAGTGTGCGGGTATTACGCCCATGGACCCCGTCACCATAACGCCGGATGACGTAGCTGAGGCGGTCCGTAGGGCCCCGAACTGGAAAAGTCCGGGACTCGACGGGCTGCATCACTACTGGCTGAAGGGGTTCGTGGTGTGTCACACTGTGCTCGCCCGACAGTTTCAAGAGGTTTTCAACCAGAAGTCGCTCCCGAGCCTCTTCACTACTGGGATCACCCATTTGGTTCCTAAAGGCCAGGGTACCACAGACCCGAGCAAATACCGCCCCATCACATGTCTACCGACCATATACAAGACACTAACATCCATTTTGAGCGCGAGAATCACTCGTCACCTGGACTCAAATCAGGTGGTGCGCGTGGTGTCGGGGCGGCGGTCTGGAACCAAGGAACAACTCCTCATTGACGCGGTTGGCAAAGTGGTGAAACGCAACCGTCGGAACTTCTCCGCCGCCTGGTAGAGAAGGCATTCGACTCGGTGCCCCATACATGGCTAAAGAGAGTCTTCGAACTATACAAGATAGACTGTACAGTTAGAGACTTCCTCGAGCAGTGTATGGGGCAGTGGAGTACGATCCTTTGTCATCTGGGCGAGCGGATGATGGCTGCGGAGAACCACATAGGGATAGGAAGGGGTATCTTCCGGGGCGATTGTCTGAGTCCAATATGGTTCTGCCTCTCTCTGAACCCTCTCAGTACCTTACTGGAGGGCTCCGGGAGGGGATTTCAGCTACAGAAAGGAGGGACAAAAGTGACCCACCTTTTCTATATGGATGACCTCAAGTTATTCACCTCCAGTCGCTCCCATCTTATGGAATTGATAAACATCACGTGTGAATTTAGCAATTCCATTGGAATGGAGCTGGGGACGGATAAGTGTGCGGTACTCTATGTTGAGAGGGGTAGGGTTGCCAACTCTGAGGGCATAGACTTATCTATGCCCGTCAACTTAAGGTTTTGTTTTGATTAATGTCAAAACATAATTTTGACATTAATCAAAACATAATTTTGACATTAATCAAACAATATTTGACGTAACTAAATGGCTAAGTAATAATAATTTAACAATAAACTTAAGTAAAACTCAATATATAAATTTCAATAATATAAATAATAATTTAATAAATATTAATTATAATGGACAAACTCTTTGTAGTGCAACTAATATGACATTCCTAGGTATAATTATTGACAAAGAATTAAAGTGGAAAGAACAAGTTTGTAAAATATGTAATAAAATAAACAGGTTCACATATGCGCTTTATAGACTAACAAAAGTGGCAACAAAACAAACTGCAATTATGACTTATTTTGCATATATTGAGTCGATTATCCGCTACGGAATTATAATTTGGGGCAACAGTGCAGAGATTAATAAAGTTTTTATTGCACAAAAAAAATGTGTTCGTGCCATTCATGGTGTGGGCCCAGATGTTTCATGTCGACCTCTATTTAAGACACTGGGAATCTTACCCGTGCCTTGTTTATATATATTAGAAGTTGCTAAATTTGTAAAACAACACGGGAAAAGTTTTTATAAACTTAACAAAGAAGTGGTATCCATGAACACGAGATACCCAGATCGGATAGTAATTAGCGAAATACCGAAAAGTAAACGCTTTAGTAAAAATTGTTACTGGATGGGTAAAACAATATATAATAAAATACCAAACATAATAAAAGATCTTCCTATAAAAACATTTCAAAAAAAATTATACCAGTGGCTTCTTCAAAAAACATTTTACTCAGTAAACGAGCTTTTAAATTACTGATGAAAACTTTTATAGGACTATAGCTCAAAATTGACATTTTTTTTTGTTATTAACTGACAAGGTATATAATATTGTTTAATTTAATTTACTTTATTTGTTAATTATAATTTTTTTTTTGGTACTTTTGATATCTTTAGAATATAATTGGATGGATTGTTTGTTGTTGCTAATTTAATGATTTAATAATGATTGATTTTGATGTGTTAATTTTGTATAAATATAATTTCTAAGAATAAATAAATTTGCATGTCTCCATTAGAGACTTAGTGTGTATGCATAGTATTTAATAGTATATCATGTAACATACATACTAAGTAGCAAATAAATAAATAAAATAAGGACCCTTTCCGAAGCTGAAACATACCGATACCTGGGTATGTCACAGAACATCGGTATCGATGAGGCTGGTATGAAACAGTCAGTTTGCGACGTGTTTTATGCACGCTTGACCAAAGTGCTTAACAGCCTTTTGTCCAGTGTGAATAAGACACAAGCATATAACGGCTGGGTCATGCCTGTCCTCATGTATACCTTTGGCATACTCAGGTGGACTCAGACTGAACTTAACGCCCTGGATAGAAAAGTCCGCACTATCATGACGTCCCACAGTATACATCATCCGAGATCGTCGGTAATGAGGCTGTACTTGCCGCGAAAGCATGGTGGGCGTGGCTTCTTGAGCGCGCTCACCATGCATAATCGCGAAGTGTGCAGCCTCCGTAATTACTTCCTGGCGAGATCGGATGATCCATTCTATAAGGACGTCATTTCTTGTGATAAAGGACTTACCCCTCTATCCTTAGCCAACGAGCAATGGCAAGACCCGGCAGTGCAGACAATTTCCGACCGGGAGACCGTATGGAAGGAGAAGGAGCTCCACGGGAGGTTCTATAAGTCTCTACATGGGCCTTTTGTAGACACAGTAACCTCCCTCCACTGGCTACGCTTTGGTGACCTCTTCGGGGAAACCGAGGGTTTTGTCTGTGCAATACAGGATCAGGTTATTAAGACCAACAACTATCGGAGATACATCCTAAAGGATGGCACCATCGACATCTGTCGAGCTTGTCGCCATCCCGGTGAGTCACTTAGGCATGTCATCTCCGGTTGTCCGGCGCTTTCTAACTCTGAGTACTTGCACAGGCACAACCTAGTAGCTAGAATTCTTCACCAGGAGCTCTCTCTGAAATACGGTTTCGTGGATCGGAAATTGCCGTATTACAAGTACTTGCCGGAAGCCGTGCTCGAAAATGATCGCGCCAGGCTCTATTGGGACCGGGCCATCATCACAGACAGGACTATTCTTGCGAATAAGCCTGATATTGTGCTGATGGACCGGGCACAGTCAAGGATATTTTTGGTCGACATTACCATTCCGTGTGACGAGAACCTCGTGAAAGCCGAAACAGATAAGCAAACAAAATATCTGGACCTGGCTCACGAGGTGACCGACATGTGGGGTGGTCTGCCGACCGAAATTATTCCTGTAGTCGTCTCTGCAAACGGGCTAATCCCAGTCAGCCTCTCGGGTCATCTGAGGCGGCTGGGACTACGTGGCGGACCGCTCCAGGCTCAGAAGGCGGTGCTCCTCGATACCGCCCGCATCGTCCGCCGGTTTCTTTCCCTTTCCCCCTAACCCTCGGCCGTTTGGTCTCCCCTGCCGAGGGCCTCCATCTGGTTGGGCCTTTATTTATATATGTATTTTTATATTTATTTTATGTTATTGTTATTTATGTATATTTGTCTTTCCATTTCCATTTATAATTATATATTTATAGCACCCAACCAGATGAGAAAACTATATAGATACCCCATACATAATAATAATAATAGCCATTTAATTCCCAATTTTCATACAACAGTCGATATTAGTTAAAACCAAATACAATATTATTATGAGTCATGCAATTTTTTTTAATTAAAAGACATGATAATGCCAGTGTCAATTTTAAATAAAAAGTTTAAATTAAATTTACAAAATTAATTTTTGATTATTTATAAATAATGTTAAGGTAAATAATCAAATTATATTTATATTTTCAAGTAATTGTCAACTTATTTTGATTTTTGTCACAAAATATATAGTTAAAATAATAAAATTGAAGTTAATAATAATCTACTGAATTTGGCTACACACATAAAATAGAGTCATAATTTATTATATTAATTTTAATTAATTATTAACATAAACACTATGTTTTATTTTATTTTATCAATGTATTTATAACATTAACTTCAGTTTTCTGCACTCTCTCTCCATATAAACTAACTATGCCAAATCTTACACTCCTCCGCGCGCAAAGCTTTCTTCACGTAATTGTTACCAAAGCTATATTTGAATTTGAAATCGAATTATAAGGTTCTACAAAAATATCTTTCTCGTTTTGGACAGAGCTTTAAGCTCGATTTGTTTTCTGGCACGCAATAGATTAACTTAGGCGGCGTTTTGTAAACCACAGAACCTGATCAAAACGATCTATTCTAAACGTCAAAATTAACGACAATGATCCACATTCGATCCCCGGTGTCGTCACGCGCATGCGTTGAAGGCCCTAATCAACAATGGGACTATTTTTGATGCACGCCGGTCTTATATTCGAACTGAATTAGCTCGTATCACAATGCAATAGAGTCAATATGTAACCAGTCGAGGTAAACTTAGCCCAATTAGGCTATCCTCCAGTCGATTTGCCGTGAGTATAAATAGTGCAAAACTTTTGGGTGGTTGCATTCAGCAGCTTTAACTCGACTGAAACGGTTCAGCTTCAGGTCCAGGGTAGGTGGCAAGTTTATTTTTTTAATTAATATTCGAGAAGCTTTTGGTATAGGATAGTGTATTCAATAAACTGTGCAGAATAATCAGAAATATTAAAAAGGATAATAAACATTAATCACTAATAATAATTGCCTTAATACTTTTTTCTCGTTATTATTGTTATTATAAAATGTACTTATTTACGATGAAATAAAAATATTTACACAATTAGTGTAATCTATGATTTTAACCATGCTGCAGTCATATTAAGGCTGTAGCACAAAAGGGTCGGCTCGACCGGGGAAGATAGATGAAAATTTCTATGGGCCACATCATCCACATACCAGTCACTCGACTCCAAACAGTACATTAGTCCAGTTATATAGATAAAACCTGAATGTTTTGCATTATTTTAAAGTTTTTGATAGCAAAAACTTTAAAATTTTTACTAACGATTTTTTTTAGTGAGTGTTATTATACTACTAAACAGTACGTTATTGATAAGACCCCTGGGAATAAGGTGATCACTACCATGCTGTTTCTTATGTCTTCATACCAATTGTATAAAATAATATTGTAAATTGATTTTATTTAAAAAAATAAGTCCCGCTGGGTTTCTTGCTGGTTCTTCCCAGGACAGAGGTTTTATCGAAACCAAGTGGTTAAAGTGTAAAATGTCTTTCAATAATATGTATTCTTGTAGTCTATATTGAATAGAAATATATATTATATTCTATTCTATTCATCAGGTTGGACGTGTATTCGTTTGTCGCCAATAATTTGTTTAAAAACAGAAAACAAAAAGATAGTGACTTTGTCGTACATTGCGCATTCTATATAACTTTTCTATAGGAGTTACCACGACTCATAAAATATACGACGCAATGTACTACAAAATTACCGTCATTTTGATGACAACTTAGTTTGTGAATAGGCCTGGTACTGCATTGCGGTTCTTGGTTCTTGGTTTTCAATAAAAAAAATATAACTCAGCTTAATTTGATTCCTTACAGATGTTCATTCTACTTCTTAGTGTGCTTCCCTTGGCACTAGCTGAGCCGCCGGTCGGGTAAGTGATCAGATTTAATTATACTTACCTTTTTATATTTAATTATAATTAAACAATTTTGGATCCTGTGTAGTGGCGAAGTAAGAATACCCACTACCCCATATCATCCCGTGGGTCTCGTAAGAGGCGGCAAAGGGAAACAAACCGGCACATGGACGGCAACGCCTTCCTGATTCCGGCTTACAGTAAAAAACTGGTTACCGACATGCTTGCCAAGCGTGGCAACTGTAGCAAATATCCGCCCTATGAGGCAATCTAGGATGGGCCTATGTTCAGCAGTGGACTTTGACAGGCTGTAACGGTAACGCTATTAGCGTTACCGTTACAGCCTTTACATTCGTCATAAACTTTCGTCATTGTTAAAATTGCATATCAATTTATTTTGTCTCTGAGTGGTCTTTCATGTAAGAATGGTGCTGGCAGGTAGGTTGTCTCCTTGGTCTAGTTGCCGTAAACGCGGATGCTGATCATGACGTCCTGGGTTTGAATTGCGGGTCAAGCCAAAATCAATTTTATACGTGGTTGAGCCACGCTGCAGCTATATTATGGTTGTAGCACGAATATGTCGGCTCGATCGGGGAATGACCACGTTTTCACAGAATACCAGCACAAAATAGCAGCTTAATACTGCTGTGTTTCGTATGGTGAGGGTAGAGAGCTGGACACCCTTTTTTACTAGAAACGAGGCGTTCCATCTTAGTCCTCAGGGGTGACATCGCATCTGCATTTTGATTCCTAATTCAGGATAAATGTAGATGTTTATGGGCCACAGAATCCACTTACCATTAGGTGGACTGTGTGCTCGTTTGTCACCCTTATTTTATAAAATCTAGGTTTTTCTACCAATAAAATCGCAGTAGCAGTCAGGAGTCAGGAAGTGGGCGATGTTCTCACCCCCGTGCCTCGAAAAGCACGCAAAGCATGTTGCCTTTGATCTCTCTCCGGGCGTCTCGGATTGCTGTCAGATCGGACTATGAGAGTGAGGGAATAGAGTGTGCTTGCGCATACACTCGAGCACTATAGTCCTGTTCTGCGGAGTTAGCTAGTCTCCTTTGATACTGGCCGCCGTGACCGAAAGTCGGCCGGACATAAATAGAATGCTTCCACGATACTGATTAACACCCTAGCCTGGGAAGTAAGATTTTGAGTTACCCTTGAATATTTTCGATAAAAAAATACTTTGCCATATTTCTTATAGAGACAGTTACTTAGAAGTAGCACAATCCAGTCACGACCACGGCTTGCATCAACAGTATCTACCACCGGACCACGCGGCAGCGTTTGCAAGAAGCTCCACATCTTCCTCCTATGCCCGCTCTAACCAATATCCAACACGAAGTGCAACGCCGTTTACTCAAGAATATAGGCCACCTAGTTCAAAGAATAGTCTATCCCAAGAATATGGACCACCCAACTCACCCAGCAGACTCTCATTAGAATATGGAACACCCGTCTCCAGAAACTCCATTTCGCAAGGATATAACGCACCTTCAGTAAAGTTCTCTCGAGGATACGACTCCCAAAACTCAGTTTCTGCTTTGTATGGTGCTCCTACCTCAAGAAATTCCCCTTCGGAAATTTACGCCACTCCCTCCCAAAGCTCTTTATCATCGCAATATGGTGTACCGGATATTCGATCACCTTCCGAAGAATATAACGCTCCGTCACGTAGAAGTTCTAATAGGCAGACATCATCCGTTCAGAAATACGGAGTGCCGAGATTCCATAGCAATCAGTCTCCTTCTATCTCACAAAACTACGGCACTCCATCAGCTAGGTCTAATCAATTCAGCACAACGGATGCCTTCAAATCTTCTTTTGGACCACAAAGCCTTTCCCAAATCAAAGATATACAGAACCCATCTCGAACTTACGGTGCACCAGCTCGCTCCCTCCCGACCCAATATGGTGCGCCCGCAGTAAAGGATACCGACTCGTACTCTCAAGGATTTGGTCGCACGTTATCGACGACTTACGAGGCCCCGGCGAGTGATCAATTAAGACAGTATGGAGCATCAGAGACGAGGCTTGCAGACCACAAACCGGCAGGTATAGCGTCATTACGTTCATCGGGCAGGTACGTGGAACAGTTATATTTTACTTGATATTGTTTACTCGTATATCTTGCCTTTTGAAATCAAATACGGTATCCAATAAACTATTTTTTTTTTCTTTTTCTTTTAAAAAAACGTTACCCTCACACTAGGATTTTCTCCTGTAACGTGGAGGCAGTTTAAATACATAAATTGCTCAAGGACAAACATCCAGACCCGGAACAATTACTTGTAGGTCATTCAGATACTTGTTCCGTGCGGAAATCGAACCCACGGCCCTCAGCGCTACAATTCAGCTTGCTAAGCTACTGCGGCTCGGGGCCGTTATTTCGTCATCGTCTTTATATCTATAAAAGTATTTGAATCAAGTTCTTCTTTTTATACTGACAGTTTTTTAAATTATAGATTATTATTTAAACGTGTGTAAACACAGAGCTATATAATATAATCCCACTGATACATTTATACATCATTAACATAGACTTAGATTGCCTCCATAGATTGCTTCGTAGGGAGATATTTGCCACAGTCGCTACGCTCGACGGGCGCAGCTTTTTACTATTCTGTGCTGTTATCAGTAAATGCTTCTGCTCATCTCCAGGTTCAGTCTCCCTCTATCCCCTCTTACGAACACCCACAGTATGGTATGGCGTAGTGAATTCTCTTCCGCTGCCACTATACATATGGTAATATATAAAAATCTAATGATAATGGTAATATAATAATATAATACTGGCTTGAGCCGTGGTAGCTCAGTGGTTAACGCTCGCTGGAAATATAACAGAACGCGAGTAACCCGGGTTCGATCCCCACCGGCACCAATGAAATTGTTAACTTACCACGTGCTCGGCGGTGAAGGAAAACATCGTGAGGAAACCTGCATGTCTGAGGAATAAGAAAAAAAAATATTTCGAAGACATGTGAAGTTCGTCAACACGCATTTGGGCAGCGCGGCGGACACTTCCTTGCCCTAAACCATCTCAGAAATGAGGGGAAGGCCTGAGCCCAGCAGTGGGACGTATATAGGCTGTAACTTTACTTTACTTTTACTGGCTTGCCAGGCAGACGTCTACTGCCCTTTTTACGACCCTTTGTCATGTCCTATTAAAAACCCTTAAATTTGCAATAAGTTAAGGAATTTAGAAGTCCATCGCGGACATGTAATGTGAAACAACGTGACATGTAATTTATATATATATATATATATATATATATTTATATATATATATATATTGAGATTAAGATATAGTAGCAAACAAAAGCACGCACACACATATTCATGCGCGCACGCACGCACACACACTCTAACGCACATAAACAAACACACACACACACACACACACACACACACACCCCACATGCACACATACACTAATAATACCACCAGATTTTAATATATTTTAAATACTAGTTAGGTAAAAGAAGATATATTATGTAAATATGGTACATGTACATGATAAAAGTATTGTAATACATTTACACACACACTTACAACCATAGGGCGGAGAACTGGCGTCCTGAAATACAGGCGTAAAGCCTAGCTTAGGGACTAGTCTCCAAATAGACATCTATAGACATATCCCACAGTATAACATTGATATATTCAATATTATGTACAAAAATTCTGTAATATTGTGGTGAGAACATAAATCATTATTATTATTACATTATTATATGGGATATTTATAAAGTATTCTCATCTGGTTGGGCTGAATAAATATATAAAAGGAAGTGTTATTATTACATTATTGTTATTAATGTATAAAAATCTCGTGTCACGATGTTCGTTCACGCTAATCCCCGAAAACACTCAACCGATTTCAATGAAATTTTGTAAATGTGTATTGCTTGCTTCAAATTGTGAGATATGATAGTTTTTATCCTAATAAGTGACTCTCAATATTTTTTATGAATAAAAGGTCGTCGGAAAGGGGAGAATAACTCTTACTCGTCAGCTAGTAGTTTTATAAAATCCAGTACCAAGTCTTCGACATTGGATAAATGCATTGTATTTGTAGCTATGATTTACGACACCCACCTCATCCATGATCTACGGTGGCCTTTCTTAAATAGGGAATGAATTCGTTGTTCACTTTAATGTCTTATCAACTACTGAAAAAGCTATTTTTCTATTGTTTCAACCACATCCATAGATATCTACCTCAAGAGTATGATGCAAAGTCGGCACGCGCTGCCGTGCCCTTGGAGCAGTACGGAACGCCGCAAGACGCTCTCCTTGGACAGGGCTATGGATTATCCAGGAGCGCACTCGAGGAACTGTTAAACCAGGTAATTTTATAATCATCACCGGTACATATTCTGCTAAGTCTTTTTACCCGACTTCAAAAAAGAGGTTAACAATCGACTGTATGTTTTTGTATGTATGATGCTTTTTTATTACATAGATTATACTTCAGGGTTGGTTCCATATAAAATATGGAAAACATTCCTTCCCCAAAGTATTGCAAAGTAGGGGATGAAGTTTTATTGTAACTTTCCCACATAAATTTAGAAGACATTGAGATTTTGATATACCTAAGGCCATTCAAAAGAGTAAAAAATGTCTTCTAATAATAAGCAAGGCCAAACAAATAAAAAAATATAATAATTTCATATTGTGGAGTCGGGGCTATAACTCTTCTATGGAATAGATCGAAGGTAGTCGTTAAGGGTGCCAACGCATCTACATTACTCTTAATTGAGGTTAGATAAGAGTGGTAGAATCACGCTGCAGCTATTGGGCTCGACCGGGGTGGGACCACGCTCTCACAGAATACCAGCGTAAAATAACAGCGTAATGCTGCTGTCTTTCGTATGGTGAGTGTAGGTTACCGGATACCCTTTTTACTGGAATCGAGGCTTTCCATCTTTATCCTCAGCGGTGATAACCCATTTGCATTTTGATTCTTAATTGAGGATAAATGTGGATGTCTATGAGCCACAGCAACCACTTACCATCGGGTGAACTGTGTGCTCGTTTGTCGACCAATGCTATAAAAAAGGGTTTAAAAAACTGTCTATGGCCCACAGCATTGTTATCAGGTGTGCTATTTGTCACATTCATTCTTTAAAAATAAATATCGAGAAAAATAATTGAATTAACTTCAGGAGCCAGCAAACTACGAGTTCGGCTACAAAGTGAGCGACTACGCGAGCGGGAGCGACTTCGGGCACGCGGAGAATCGGCAAGAGGACCGCGCCGAGGGCTCGTACTTCGTGGTGCTGCCTGATGGCACCAAGCAAGTGAGTCAAGAAATTATTATCTATCAAAAATCATACGAACTGTATATATGTATAGGTATAGAGAGGGGCTTGAACTAAATCAGCTGTATCATGTAGTTATATAGAGGTTGAACTAAATCTTTAACGTGAAAAATTTTACGTGGTAAAGTCACTTGCAGAGTTCGAAATGATGCATCTATGTGATAGAGAAAGCTAGTATGCTTGTGTTTCGTATGCGGAGTTCTTGGCACTACCCTTACTAAAAATATGGTCGAATGTTTCAAGTTATTGTTGTTTTTGCTTTCTAAGAAAAGTGTGATTCGAAAGTCGATCGAGAAAGGGATGATATAGATGCTGCAGTGTGTTATAGCCGCGAATGGGTTGACTCGACTAGGGAAGAGCCACGTTATATCACAGAATACCAGCGTAAAATAGCAGCTATTGCTGTGGTGTTTCGTATTGTGAGTGTAGAACTCAAGACACGTTTTGTCGGTAACGGGGAAATTCATCTTTGGATTCAGCGGTTCCCTATATTTTGACTTTTGATCAAGGTCAGATGTATATGTCTATAAACCAAAGGATCAAACTACCTTCAGGTTCCGTGTGCTTGTCTAACACGATAATCTACACTCGTACTCAAACACAAAATTGAATTGTTTCAATTTTCTCTTTGAATATGAGTGTAACTCTAAGTGTACTATTAGCTACTGGCTAAGTCTTTGTCTAATATCAAAATAACTGTCTTTTATTGAAACGATGCGGTTACTTGTACGCCAAAATATGAGAATATTTTTTTAATTTTAGTCATTCTGACCCGGTTAATTATAGAGATGACTGAACCGAAATTTCACGAACATATAGAAAGAAATGCCAGGAGCGATTTAGACTATACGAGGGTGATACTGAAAGTTTTTAGAAAATCAAAAATTGAACAAACTAGCAAGTTATTAGTTTTATTATATCGCTTACAAGTGGCCAGTTATAAAAAACTTTCAGTGTCACCCTCGTATTATTACGATAAACATGGAGATTTTTTCAATTCAACACAACGCCACATTAATAAATCCTACCCCGGGCGAATCACTATTATTTAATATAATCTCAGACAGTTGTTTACTTTACAACAGGGTCAACACTTAGAACTCTCTAACCTTATTAAAATTTACTGAAATCTTAATACAACTTTAAAACTTTTCAGGTAGTAGAGTACGAAGCGGACGAGCGCGGATTTAAACCGCGCATTTCTATCGAGCCAAACGAAGGACCATACTGACCAGCACGGACACGTCTTCTGATCACGTGGCAGCACGGACCAGGACTGCATGAAGGACTAAGCTAGCTTCACATGTAGCAGGATTACGATGAATGATTTTGGACGTTGATAACTTGGATTATTCGACAAGTATTTTGCATAGAGTTACACGTTCAATCAAACAAATAAATCTCCCTAATTTACGTACTTTAGGAAATGAAAATATGTGATCCAGATATTCTTACGAAGTTGTGAAGATATCATAACATCCTGTGCTGTGAAGTCTAATCAAAGTGATATTCATTTTATTTATTTATTGCAAAGCATATTTAAAAATAATAAAAAAATAATTGTATACAGTTGCGTGTATAAAATGCTTTTTTCTAATAAAGGTTAAGTTGTATAACTCTGAGTATTCGTATAAGTTAACTAGCGATCTTCCCCGGCTTCCCACGGGTGATTTCTGGATATCGACAGTAGCGCCACCTACCGGGTTCAACTATAGCTAAAAGTATCCAGGTGACCTTATAAGTTATAAGGTAAAAAATATTTTTTTTTAAATAAATATAATAAAAAATCCTCTTATGTATAAAAGAGGATGTTGTGAGTGATGACTCATCTGCCATCGCGCAGTCCAAATCGCTTGATGTAGAAATCTGAAATTTGGACTGTAGGTAGCTGCCTTTTATAACGTTTGCGTAAGTAAAAAATTCTAAAGTGGTGAAATCGAATGTTAAGTTATGTATGAAACTTTTCATTTTACAGTGCGACAGACTCGAAACTTACAAAGGTATTCTGTAATTAAAATAAATAAATTCATTCTTCCTGGTGCTTAGCCTACATATAAGAAAGCAACAGTAGCAAGCAGTTGCTGTCCCACTGCTGGCAACAGTCCTCCCCACCTTTTTGCATAAGGACTGTTACCTGCAGCCGAGTATGCCGCCTTTCACCCCCTTTTATACATCCATTAAAGCCTATGAAGTCTACTGCTAAACATTGGCCATAGGTAGTTAAGAGAGAGAATTTCGGGGATTAACTCTAACGCATAAAAAATCTCAAACATCCTTTTTATCCTTTAAATTCAAAATTCCCATTCGTAAGGTTCGATCGGTGGGCAAAATCGTTGTCCATAAATCACATTCATCATCATCATGATGAACGTGATTTATGGGCAACAACGTTACAGCCCTTCACATGTCCACTGCTGGACATAGGTTTCTAGAAAGAATGCCACAAAGCACGGTCCAGTATCCATCGACTTCGTGCATGTCTCACCAGGTCGTCACTCCATCTAATGGGAGGTCGCCCTACACTTCGCCTACCGGTACGAGGCTACAACTAGAATATCCTATAGGATGCATTTCGGTCAGTGTGCGCAAGAATTACATTTTTAATTGCTCCCTATCCTTTCCATCGTCGGAAAACCAGACATTCGGCGGGTCTTCGCCCCTCTGAAACAGAAACATCCATAAACTTTTTCATTCAATGTAGATTATAAATAATACTTATTAAAAGTCACTTATTTTCACTTGCGAGTGGCTCCAACGATGACGTGTACAACTGCCTATAGGTCTCTCAATCTCACTTAAAATCTCAGGTGCATATGTTGCTTTTCCCTACAATTTCGCCGACAAATATTTTTAAGAATACATTAAAATTAATTTATATATACAGCTTTACGCATTAAAATAACCCTTGCGGGCACTAATTCCGTCAACATTAGTCCCAGCACCACTACTCCCAACACCACTACTCCCGGCACCACTACTTCCAACACCACTATTCCAGGTAAGACACACCATCGACGATAATACGACACGTGTTTCGCCTCTACACGAGGCATCCTCAGGTGATGTAGACTCTAAGGCGGCTGACCGCTAAGATCTTAGCGGTCAGCTGCCGTAGAGGTGATGGTGAATTAAGGGAGAGCGGGAGTTGCCCTTCAATCCAGGTAAGACACATCATTGTATTAAGTTAGCGGAAGGTTGCAAATGAATCAATATCGTTATTATAACGGGTTTCCGCAAAGTAACGCCTGATTCTATTAATTATCACATGTATTTGATTAAAAAAGGATCTCCTAGGTGTGCGTTGTTTGCAGTTAGCAGTGGCTGTAAATGACCGCCGGTACGACATACTCCGCCGAACGTTGAGTCCCGTGATTCCGTGAGGCGTCGAGGTCACCGGCCCCTAGGCGATTCTTGGCACTTTATGCGCTCCGAGCATCCTGTGCCTAGTCGCGTCATAAAGTGCCACCGTTGCACTTCCCCCAACCCTTTTGCTGACAAAAGGGGTAGGCAGTGCCCCAAGTGTGGAAAGTCACCATCTCGCATATCTTATTTAGACAGGGCCGTTAGTTGATTACCTATGTCCGATAAGAAAAAGGGGGAACCTCCCCCCATCTAGAAAACCACCGGACCGAAAAGGTGTGTTGGATCGACCACTGGTTGTGAGGGATCTGTCGAACCCGGAACGCACGAGGGTTGTGTCCTCCTTTTCACAGATCCCCCAACGCAAACCCGTCTCACCGCGGAAAGAGCCCGCACCGGGCGTCGCGCTCACGCCGGCCGTGTCTGAGCACACGGTTAGGCAGGAACCGTCGCCCCAGCAGCAGCGGGCAAAGAAAACGGCGAGACGTCATACTCCTCCGGAAACGGAAGCCTCTTTATATGAGAAGAGGCAACGGGTTGGCTCCCAATTGTCTTCCGATGAAGCACCTGCTTCATCAGAGGAAGATGAAGAGTACCATAAAGTGACCACAAAGAAGGTGCTGAGATCGCCACCCAGGTCACCTTCTCCACCACAACTCCCCCCCCGCCCCATATCACCGGATCGGCGAAGCCATGATTCGGCACAGTATGAGCAGGGGGGTGAAGAATCCTACAGTTGGGGGTCAACCACATATGCCACCCTCGCTGCATCCGCCGGCCGATCATCGCCGGTGGCAACTACAAATCCGTCCGGGCTCCCACAGGACGATGGCCAACGGCCATCTACCAGTTATGCCCATATGGTAGCTGCACCAGCAGTACCACGACCACCACCGGCGGCAGCGCCTATAGTGAAGCCAGCCGACCAGGAGAAGGGCCGTTACCCACCTATAGTGGCTGAATGCCTACCAGACTGGACGAGGCATTTCAAGGAGCTCAACAATATGTTGGGCCACCCCATAAATGCCCGTCCGTTTGGGAAAGGCGTAAGATTTACACCGCAAAGTGCTAATGAATTCCGCACAGTACAGCGGTATATGTTTGAGCTAACAAAGAAAACACCATCACTGTCGTGGTATTGTTACACCCCGGAGGAGGATAAGCCCACTAAAGTGGGCATCCGGGGTCTACCAATGGGCACGGATACCCAAGCAATAGAGGAGGCCATAAGGGCAAAAGGCTTCCCCATAAAATATGTGAAGGCAATACCACCGCGTAGAAGCAGACCTGGCTGCGTCTACTTTGCCCAACTGGACCACCTGAGCCTGGAGCAGCTCCAGGAACTATATAACATCGACGAGCTCCTCTACATGAGAGGGGTTGTCATCGAGGCCTGGCAAAGAAAGGCAGGACCAGCCCAATGTCACCGATGCCAGGACTTCGGGCACGCCTCTGCCACCTGCTTCAGGCCAGTGAGATGCGTGCGCTGTGCCGGGGAGCACATAGCAAGCCTTTGCCCTCGGGGTAGAGAAGAAGAACCGAAATGCGCCAATTGTGGTGAAAACCACACGGCAAATGACCGCCGCTGCCCAGTCCTGAGGAGGACTGCGAGGAGGCAGGGGATAATCTTGCCGGGACTACTCCCGGAGGCACCCAAAAAGGCCCCTCAGAGTCGCCCGAAAGCTGTTACAATTCAACAGGACGGGTGGACCACCATCACCGGGAAGGGCAGGCAACCAGCCCCCCCCCCACCCGTAACAACCCAGGAAACGGTGGAACCCACAATGACCAGGGCAACCACCGGGGCGACTCTACAGCCTCCCGCCAATCCTGCCACTGAACGGCAACCCTCCAAGAAGAGGAGGCGGGAGAGAAGTAGGAAGAAGTCGCAGCCTCCTCAGGCTGTCACCTCTACCCCGACACCAACCATACCAGTAGCCTCTAAGGCGCAGATTACGAGGGAGACAACCAGCGTGGGTAGAATGCCAGAAAGGGCTCTAACAGAACATAGAGCCCGCTCTACTGGTAGAGCGCGCTCTACCCACAAGCAAAGAGAGCAAATCCAGGACTCCCAACCCCCGAGACAATTGCCAACGCCTTCTTATAGGAGAACACCCACCACCGGCCTCGAAACAGCAGATGCAATCCAACGTCTGGTTGGTATTGCCATCGAGGTCGGCACGCAAGTCCTGGCTGACATAAGAGCCGGGACAGATCCAGTGACAGCGATAATGAAGGCGCTGGCAAACCTCCTAGCCCGGCACTATGGAGGAGAGTAATCTGCGCCTCCTCTATTGGAACCCGGACGGAATACAGCAGAAGCTGCATGAACTCCGCACAGTCGCCCAGCAACAGGATATACATATTATACTGCTGGGCGAAACAATATTAAATCCCAAAACGCGCATAAAGCTGCCAAATTACCACATCTACAGGAGGGACGAGGTCACTTCTCAAGGGGCCGCCTACAGAGGGACGGCGGTTCTAGTGAGGAGGGACATCGTCCATCAAGAGCTGGAACTACCATCCTTCCAGACAATGCGCTCAATCGGTATAAGAATGGAGGCGGCGGGCGAGGAACTAAGGATATATGCAGCATACTGCCCGCCAGGGACTCCATTCTGCTCCTCAGACATCCGGACAGTGATGGAAGGCGATGTACCAGTAATCATCGCCGGGGACCTGAACGCCAAACACCCGGCGTGGGGGTCCAGAGTGATCACCCCGCCGGGTCGTGAACTATATGAAGATGCTGAAAGGAACCAGTATGACGTTCTAGGTCCCGAGGAACCAACTCACGTTCCTACTGACCCAAGGAGGCATCCGGATGTATTAGACATCGTGCTCACTAGGAACGTCAACTATCCGATA